ACATCTACATTTCAGCCTGTCCTCTAAAGTATTTTTTTTCAACTAACTCTATAGTTGTCCATCAGCTTTCATACACTTGGATTCCTTCGACAATCTGCCTGATTCAGGATGTTACTCAACAATCTCTTCAGAGTGTGTTCCATTCATCTCTAGCAAGTACGAAAACTCAACCATACCCTACTTAGCTCGTGTTCTGTGCGATAAAGAAACTTATAACTTATTAAATAGTTAGTAAAACAACTGGATATCGTCTTTCTAACTCATATCATTTGTAAGTACAACATTTTCTTTCTTCCTTTTCATTCTTTTTGTTATGTGTTGTTTTGTTTCTCTTTTCCTTACAAACTCTACTTAAAACATTCTTCTTCTTCTTTCTTTCACACTCTGTATATCTCGACCTTTTTGTTACCGCTTAAATATGCTACCATCTACTTTTCTAGCACCTTCAAACATTCTGTTCACCTTTGGCTTTGCTACCGACCGATTTGCTAATATGTTGATGTCAAAACTAACTGAGATTACCAATAATCTATGTAGAATTTTCTCTATTGTTAATGTACAAACTGGATGCAATACTGTAGTGAAATGCTGAGAATTCCATTCTGCATCACAAGTACTGTTTTGGAATAAAGTAAATTATTATTATTATTATTCCCCTATGCTTATTTCACTAGTTTTCCAGGCAGTCCTGAGCCAAGAGAAAAAGAGAACGTTGGGCGTGGAGATAGTGAACTTTTCGCAGAAAATCAACCTAATCGCTGCAGAAATTCCAAATCATAGTCTAACTAACTTCTAAATGATTATTATCAAAACTAGCCAGCGAAAATGTTATGAAATTAAATAAGCGCATATTCACTCAGCAATACTTTTAACCTCTAAGTATCAATTAAATACTGTTCGATTCATTCAGCAACAAAAGTATACTTAAAGTCATATATCGTAAACTCATCTCTGATGTAACCTGAGAGTTGGAATAGTCGCACCGTTACACATTTCAGAGAAAACCTTATGTTAATGTTAATTTTTGAAAACTATGCATACCTATTGGCTAAACGGTTAGGGTCTTAAGAAGAAATATGGAGAAAAGCGAGGATTAAAATAGAAAACTGTATTCTGACAAAACAATTCAAGAAAAAAAATATTACTGTAGATTTCATATGTAAAGAGTATACCAAAAATGAAGACTGTGCTAATTAAGATTTCCCATTTCAAATAGCTCAACCGTACATGTGATGCTGGAGATATGTCTCGATTAAAGACAAGACCAATGATATCTCATTTCATCTCTACAAAAGCACCAACTCTTAAAGTATAAACATGTCACATCGGTAGAAGAAAACTACGACTATACAAATGTTACAGCCTTATTAGTAGTAGTAGATGCTAAGAAAATGCAGAATCGTAGAGAAGAAACATGAGTGCGCTGCTACATTAAAGCGTCTTTCAAACGCAAGACTGTACAGCACAACTGAATAACATCATTTTCTGGGTAAGTAGTGACTTGACTGAATGTATTGGTTAATTTACTATTTGTTTTGAGTTGCTAAAATATTCACCTTTTATTCATTCATGTTTAGTATAATCAGCTGTTAGGAGTATATTTTAAAACATTCTGTGTCTAGCGCTACTGATGAGATTTATCAGTAGTATATGAAGAGACGTTCATAGGCATAAAAACATTAAATTGCAAGGAGATACATTTAATTTCAGAGAAGGCAAATGATACAGAGTTGTGAAGATCCATGGGAGACGTGAAGGGAGCATAGAGAAGGAAAAATACGAAGAAAATGCAGAACAGTCAATAGCTCAATTTTAAAGCACATTATTACTTTAGGTTACACAGTATCATCAGAAACTTCATTTAATGTACTACATAAAGTACAAACAAGCCGGTCCAAGGATTTCACCTGAATCTTCTTCATGCAGATGAAATTATGTGGGTCCATAAGGAAGAACCTAGACTTTGTGTTCAGAGATGTTTAATAGAGCTTCCTTTAATACCGCTGACTTGGCGTCAATTTTTGTTTTCCTGAGCAGTTCTACAATAATCTCTATGCAGTCCTGTTTATTTAATTTTTTATTTGTGCTGCACATTTTCAATCCTTTGTTCTCTTGTTTCCTAACAAACAGTTACTAATGTCAATTTATCGGTTTTCAGGTATTGGTTTGTAGGGATTTTTTGATTGGTTGGAAGGTTTCGTCATGAGCTGATATCAGATAGAGAACCATTGCAAAGCCTGAGAGTACTAGGCAGCCAGTCGTTCCGTCCTAGTCTGATACTCTTCATCAGTACGCACCCACCGGGGTTCTCACCCTGGACTTTCAGGTTAAAAAATGAACTCGTAGACCATTAAGCCACTAGGATCCGATTCAATGGCCCTGGGTTCGAACCTCAATGAGTGCGTACTGATGAAGAGTCCCAAACTATGGTGAAGCGGATGTCCTTTACTCCCTGGTTTTCCAATGGTTCTCTAACCGATTATTTATCACTTAAATAATTAGTTGTCAACTCTCCCGGTTACGTTAAGATCACTCAAAATCTTTCAGGCATTCTTATTACTCATAAACTGTGATTTATACCTTTACTATGTGACAATAAACTCTAACCTCCAATGTCAAGTGATATTGCATTTGCAAACCCCTAAACTATTCTAGATTAGTAGTCAATAACAATATTAGAAAAACTGCCTAATTTCACCTCTTCCATGTGTATCTACCGATTTAAATGCTCCTGTGGAGCCAGTTACATAGGCCGTACAACTAAGCGTGTTTCTCGTCAAATTTCCGAACATCACCCTGCGTGGTTAAGCAAAGGACAAACAAAGTCTATTCGTAGTGCTATGCTATCTCATCTTGTGGATACAGAACACAAGATTGACGTTAACCATGCTTTCAGGGTTATTTACTGCATACCAGCAAATCTCAATTTCGCCTTAAGAGTTCAAATACTAAATATTGCTGAAGCTGTTGGGATCCATATTAATTTTAGTTGACATTCTATTTGCTACTATATCTTCATTATTACTACAATTTAAGCATCTTTAATGAACTATAATTGCATTGATCTTACCTTACAAATCGATATTATTTAAAAAAACACTAATATTGTTAATGACTACTATTCCAGAATATTCTATGTATATACACATATATATAATTGTAGAGCTAGAAGAGGAATTTATCGTAAAGGATATTCTTTGCTCAATTATTTTGTGTTTTAAAAATCAATATGTGCATATAATGGTAATAATATTAATGATAAGTTTAGTTTATTTGTTGCATTTTGCAATCATATCATCAAAATTATAATAATTTTTTAATAAATAACTTTTCCTTCACGTTCCCCAGTGGAACATAGGGCTCCAAGCTAGTGGCTTGAAATTTCTGTAGCAGAGTTTATTTTAGAGGATGGGGTTGCTAGCCTCATGCCCAACCTTTCCTCTTTACCAGGTTTTATTTCTGCCTTAGCGAGGTAAAGGAGTGCGTCGGCCGGGGATCGGACCCTGGACCATGTGCATGGTTGGCGAGCACCCTAACCGCTATACCACCGACGCACCGATGCACCACTGACTGACTGACTGAGTGATCATCAAAATTATAGGGAGCAATAAAAAACGTTCCTAGTAATTATATAGCAAATCAAATTTTCAATAATAATTATAATACTAATAATAAAGCTTTATTTGAGACAATTTGCAAACATATGGTACAACAATTTTCAGCGTATTTAGTTCGCAAATACTTTTTTCTTCAGACAGGATTTACATATAAAGTAATAATCTGAGGTATATCTTCATTTCATTGAAGAATTGCACAGAGTTTAGTTAGAAACAAGTTAAATCAGCGCGAAAGTTTATGTATAGGTCATATGATATAACTGGATGACTGAAACAATGATAAAACCAAATGAAATTAAGCATTTTTGTTGGAAAGCAGACCAGTGATTTAAGTAGGCCGCCAATGATATATGGTTAATTAAATAACAGTTTTAATCAACTCATTTCAGTAACGCCATCCAATTGTGGAGGAAGATATAAATGTTTCCAGCACATAACAATAATAGTAACTCATTGAGGCAATCAGACGAGATAAACACTAAGAAAAGTTTGACTACCAGTGGAATGTAGGAAACGCATTTCATCTTATTTTCGAGACTCGTCATTTGGATGCGCCTGCATTCTCCAGTGACGCCCAAACTCAGCATCCAAAGTGTTATCCACTAGACCAGCTGGACCACCTCTTGTGCAACAGGTAACAGTTTTTATGGGTTCTCATTTCAAACCTCAGTGGTTACACCATCACTCATTGGGGAATCCAGATACACTTAAATAGGAAGAAATGCGCATCCTCGATTCCACTGTTAGTCAGCATCCGCTAAATTACTTCAAATTAAATCCTCAGACACCAGTGAGGCATCTGTACGAGGAGGTGACATATCAAACAGAGGCTGAGCACAGGGGTTCAATCAATTATCTATGGGAAAGTCCAAATGGAATTATATAATAAGAGGAGATTATTTCTTTATTAAGTGACCTACACACATTATATTCACATAATTTCACTTGAAACGTAGATGTGTGACTAGAGTGCTCACAGTGGTTTACATTTTTCAATTAAACTACGTCTTCTATTGACGTAATCCGGATTCTACTAAGTGGTACAAACAGTTTCACAGAAAAAACATATATTTATTAAATATTAAGAAACAGTCATGTGCGTTGGTGGCACGATGCGCACCAACCACTCAGGTGGTCCAGGGTTCGATCCGCAGCTGATGCACTCCTTTACCTCGCTAAGCCAGTAATAAGACTGGTAAAGAGAAAATATTGGGCATGAGGCTAGCAACACCATCCCGTTGAAATAAGTACCACCAATACGGAACCTTCAAGCCTCTAGCTTGAATCACTACGTTCCACTGGGGACGTAAAGGAATTTTAAAAAAAACGAAAAAAAACGAACAACGAAAAAGAGAAAAATATTTAGAAAACAGAAAAACTAACCTTCTGAACTTAAGTAATCATTTAATAATTGAAATAGCGGAAAACTGTCCCAACAATCTGGTGGCATTGTTTCTAATACACCAACCATATCAGCTGAGAAAAAACTCCAAAATAATTCTGCATGCTCGGTTAATAAATCTTGAAACCATGAAAATGCCTAATGGGAAAAGAAAATCAGTAAATAAGGATGAATTCATCTGCATAAATTTAAATTTTTATATGGTATACTTTGAAATACACTTCATTATGAAAATTGAAATTCTATGAATAATTGTTACATGGAAATTATTCGATGGTGAGCAAATACTATTCAGTTCAGTAATGAGTATGTCAAAAACTGGCCAAGACCCCAGAAACAAGACAGGCGTCTATTACGCCTTAATCAGTGTGGAAAGCCACTCGAGCTTTAAACACTAATGTCACATCAGTACTTCTATATGATTCGCAGACTTGATTTACCATCAAAAGCACATCCAGCGGACTGCACACTTTCATTATCAGCTTCCTGCCTTATTGATATAAGGATAAAACTTGGGCAGTGTGGTAGAGTATAACTCCCCATTATGCATAAAATTCCATTTTGATAAAATCACACAGTGTGTGTTATACAGTAATATTTACTGATGACCACCTTCCGAGCACAAATTATTGCTCACATGCAATAGAAGTACCTCAATGCAAATACTTTAAATATGGAAGATATTATTACCAGTCAAATCAGAGGAGGACAATAAATAATCTTAAAATGTTTTGATTTAACACTATTAACTAGTGTCATGTGTCTAGTCCTCTCATCGGTGCAGACTGAATTCTATCAGTCAGGTTGTAATGTAGCCACCATTCTAGGTAGCTCAACCATCACGGTGCACGTTGATTTGGTGATATTAGATGGTTGGAGGCAATGTAATGGTGGCTACATTACAACCTGACTGACAGAATTCATTCTGCATCAATGAGAGGACTAGACACATCACACTAGTTACTAGTGTCAAATCACTACAGTCCTACAGGAAGTCAGTCGCGAGCCCGAATAGCTCAGTAGTAACGTCTCTGACCCCAGGCGGCACTGGATGATAAAGATTCGAATCTCAGAAGGGAAATGAGTTCCTTCAAGGTTGCAGATACGCCCTGCTGACTGGTGAGTGCCAACTAGCACGAAACCTAGGTCCAAGGCTTCCTGCCGATTACCTCCAACCATCTAATAATCTTAAAATGTATTCAATTCACATCTTATTGTATTTGATTGATAACACTAATATTATTTCCGAATGTACTTTATCTTATGTTGATTTTATTCAAATGTCTAATCAATTTTTACTCATGTATGTAAATGAAGCAAGAAAGTTGTGTGAGTACCCTGATAAGACTACGAGCAGCAATAGTTTGTGCTCGAAACGTTATCAGCAAATATTATTGTACAACAAATTGTGTGACTTTGTCAAAATAAAATTTTATCCATAATGGACCTACCTACTCACCTTCAATCAACGCTGAATATTGGATAACTAGAAAGGATAAGCAACAAGAAACTCTAGCAGAGAATCAATCAAGAACCTACTACTGAAAAAATATTCAAGGGGAAATGAAGATAGAAAGAGATTACTCTGAAAAGACTTTCAAGTGATATCATACACGTCAAGCCGTCGAGTGGAACGCGAACAGGAAGTGACGGTTTTGGATATTCGAAGATAATACGGAGGAGATCGCGTGGAGCGGAAGAAGAATAAATGAAAGCTTGACGGCAATTATGGGAGTCGGGTGAAAGTAATGCTAGGAAACCGAGTGCTACTGGAGCCCCTTATATTAGGCTGGGAACACAAGGATTGAATTACAGTATTTCATATAAGCTGTTTGTTGAGTTTTTTCTTCTTCTAAACAGCATTGCATAAAATGGATACTGAAAAGTAGTCACTCCTACCTAGTATACCAATTTATTTTTGTTTGTATTGTATAAATATACAACCTCGCCTAGTTAACTAGCTTGTTAGTTTTCTAGCTGGTCTAAAGTCTAGGTAAAGGGGGAGGGTTGGGCGTAGGGCTAGCAACCCTACACCATAAAATCTATCAAACCGCTAGAGAAATTTCACACACAAAAATATAATAAAAATATAAAACATTCAAAGGACGATTATGCGTCAGATTGTGCGTTGGGAGCAAGGAGACAGGAATACACTGGACGACTGATAAGAAGACTCTAGAAGATCCGGATTTCGCAGATGACAGATGTCTGATCTGACATAAACTCGAAGACTTGCAGGCGAAAAAAAAGAAACTGGCAGAAGAAGCAGGCAGCGAAGACAGGAATCCAGATGAGCATAGCGAAGACGGTGATGATGAAGATAATCAGCGAACAGCTACAACAAACAGCATCAATCACTATCAATTGAAAGAGGTTACTTCCTTCAATCATCTACGAAGTACCGTTTCAACCACAGGCAGTCGGAACGGATGGATGTGTCAGAGCCAGCCAGCCAGCCAGCATCGGAAAGGCACGATGCACCTTCATCAACCTGAAATCAATTTGGAAATCTTTTGCATTCAAAATAAAGAACAAGATTCGGATTTTCAACACCAGTGTCAAGTCAGTCCTTTTATACGAATCAGAAACTAGGCCAGAGTGACACGAAAAGCATTTCTGACAGCCTGTTACAGACTTCTAACCGGAGTTACCTTCGCTCCATACTAAATATCAAATGGCTAAAAATAGTTAGCAACAAGAAAATCTGCAATAGAACCAACCAACTAAAAGCCGATCGCTCAACAAATATGTAGGAGAAAGTGGAGATGGATAGGGCATACATTGAGGAAACCGTCGAATAAATCACGCGCCAGGCCATTGCTCGAGTGGAATTTGAACGAGTGGGTGACATGGAAGAGATCACGACAGCAGGAGGTGAGAGGTTATGGGCAATTGTTGACCCGGCTGAAGAGGACGGCAGAATATAGGACAAAGTGAAGATGTGTTGTTGAAGCCCTATGTTCCACTCGGAAACCAAGGGAATAATGAATTAATATTAATAATAGCATACATATACATTTTGTAAAGTAAATAATTCCATTAAATTCCATTTTTCCTTATTGTCTATCCACCACTTTTACTTCAATTAAAGGTTAATATAATGACAAGAGGTATTGAATAGGAATAAGAAGGAAAAAAGAAAAAACAATATAAAAAATAGAGAAATATTATAAGAGAACACTTCTCATACTTCACTTATCCTAATTTTAACTTTTCAAATGACCTTTGGAAAAAGAGAAGGGAGGGGGAGGGAGACAAAACAAAAAGTCAATGAAAGAATAAGGAAGGTGAACACCTGCTTTTTCATTTGAAGCCAACAACAACGAAAATTTCTTACAAAAATAAAGAAAACTACTTCATCATCAGAAGGGGAAAAAAGGAAGAACAAAAAGAAGAAGAAGAAAAAGAAAGAGGAGGGAAGAAATCGATAAAAAAGCGAAAACACAATAATGAATGAAAGCATTCAAATCAATGTAGCTCGAATACACCGATTGGATAGTGTTCATCTATTTACTTTATTATTTTTCAACAACAAACAACAAAGTAACTCAGATTTGTTAGAAGGCTAGTCCACCCGCCCATCTTCGAAAAAAGTAGATAACATTATATATATATATATATATATATATATATATATATATAGTTTAATATAAGTGGAATGAAGCCAATACGAGCTATTGAAATACAGATCTTAAAAAAGGTCAAAGATCTATCCAACTAATCGTCACTAACTGATTAAAAATGCCCATTAACATTTTTTCTCTCACAAGAATGGTCACTGAACAAAGAATATTCTTTTCAATAACTTCATCATCATCGTCATCAGGTTCTCCAGTTATATATGCACAATAGTGAAAGAACTTTTAATAGTGACAAACTACAAGTCTTATTTTCTACACAATCGATGGTGATTCTTCGATTGAAAGATGAAGTACCTAGACTAGACTAGCCACTTTTAATTGTATCCATCAATTCAAATACGCTTGTGGCGGAGCGAGTTCTATTGGCCGTTGCTCTAGGAACTTGATTTTTCGTGCTCACTCAGGGACATCCACCAGTATGGTTAAATAAAGATGTAGTGAGAAGCATGAATAGCATGATGTTAGACCACCTGGTCCAAACCGGTCACAAAACCAGCACTGAAGAATCCTTCTTCATCATTTATCGGGTACCAAATAAATTGGCAAAAACATCGAGATACCGCATGCTCCAAACAGTAGAATCTATCCTGATTCGTGTGAAACAACCAGTGCTTTGTGTGCGAAAGAGGCAAGTCCAGCCACCACTACTACTGCCTTGGTCGACCTTCAGTAGAAACTGTAAATTCATGAATTTGTATTATTATTTTCTGATATTCAGCGGTATGTTGTATTGATGCTTTCGAACTGTAATCCATTGATATTATTACTATTGATTCGATGTTTTTTTAAACGACATTAATTTTGTTAATAACACCAATTCATTCACTATTATGTATACATAACTGTAGTACCTGATGGAGAAGGACTTGTGGAAAAGAATATTATTTGTTCAGTGGTCATTCTTTTGAGAAATAAATAACAACTCTATATAAAATATGAACAAGGCATTATCAATAGAATGACAATTTGTCATGCTTTTTTGTGACAGCCACAGCATTCTGTACTGAATGAATCAGCGATTCATATAAGAAAGTCAAGCTTATCTGATTAGGTATTACAATATTAGTAGCCAGTAGTTGGTATTCTTAACTGACATGCTTTGAGATCTTTAGCTTCCTTCGTCTCACTGGTTCACTCTTTATTTATCGCTATTAATGTCGTATTGCGATTTCACTTTGTTATGTTAGTACAATGTGAGATTATTTTGAACCAATCAAAATTCACTATAATTTATCTAAAAACTATCAATCAGAAAGCTTACAAAGATATAGAAGTAGCTACTGACTGCCAATTCACTGATCGAAATCTATTGATCATAAGGTGCGACTAGCTTTCAGTAGCTTATACTAGTTTTAGTCCCTGTAAGATATTGAAACGTCTACCAAACGAGGATGCTGCTTCTGATACTATACACTTATGAGACATAATATATTTTATTAAGAGAGACGGAACGGTTTAGGATGTTGAGTGCTATAACTCCACATCCTAGCAAGTAGGGCAGCTATTTTCATCAGCTAGGATGACATGTACGTCATATAAATCATTATTATGATAGGTAAAATCAAGTACCTCCAAAGAAACGTTAAATGTAGTCAGATAAGAATAACGGTCATTGAATGATATATAAAAAATCAGTCAGTAGTGAGGAATGATGAAGAAGTGGCAATGCTCAATTGTGACTTAAACTGTAGAGTTTTGAATATCATTTTCTCTAAAGAAATTTTAAAGCTGACTATATTATTATTATTATTACTCTGACTACTCAACTTTTTATTGTCCGAAATTTGTCTCTGTACACCGTCAGGATATCGTTAGGACTCAAAAGCTCGAAATACACAGTTCTCATGAGCCAGACATGCTGTTTGACGACTGATGATACTACCAAGCTGCCTACTTTGAATGAAATAGCGCAGAATTTCAGTCAGGGACTCACTGGTTAAAAGGAAAATGCTTATGCCAATAAACCACAACGTGCAAATGGCTTTAGTGATTTTATTATTATTATTATTGCTCCCTTGGGTTCCTAGTGGAACATAGGGCTTCAACTGCACGTCTCCATTTTCTTCTGTCTTCTGCTATACTTTTCGCCTGCATCCATATTAGTCCATACTGTTTCAACTCCTCTTCACACCATCTCCTCCATGTCACCCTTGGACGTCCCACACGCCGCTTCCCTTTCGGATTCTACTCGAGGGCTTGGCGCGCGATGTCACCCAGCGGTCTCCTCAGCGATTGTCCGATCCATCTCAATCCAATTTCTCCTGCATATTTGTTGGTTGGCGATTGGTTCTTGCTTTGTTTTTTCCCATAATTCCTTGTAAGTGATTCTTTCCGGCCATCTGATCTTCAGTGTTGAGCGAAGACAGTTGTTAATAAAGGTCTGCAGCCTTTTGGAAATATTCTTTGTGACTCGCCAAGTTTCTGATCCGTATAGAAGAACTGACTTTACGTTTGTATTGAAAATCCTCCTGAATTTTGTTGTTGATGCTGGCTGAGTGACAAAGATTTCCAGATTGATTTCAGGCTGATGAATGTGTTTCTCGCCTTCCCGATCCTCGATTTGACATCCTCGTCCGCTCCTCCTGTAGTTGAGTAGTAGTGATTAAATCAATTTATCTTATTGAAACTATGATTTATAGTGTGAATTAAAGGCATACTGAACCAGATGACTGGCTACGCTTTGCTGCCTAGTAAGGCGTAGTTGATTAATCTTTGTCTTCCAGTGACGTGGCTAACACCATGGCTCTCGTTCTCATAACTATCCAATGTATTCTTGTATTTCCCGATGAGTGAAAAAAAGATATTGTTTTTACTGACGTTTCGCTATTTAATGCTAATAGCTTTATCAAAGTATTATTAAAGTAGAATTTCAAAAATCTCAGCATATATACATAATCACTTAATCAGGAGTCACAAAGAAAGTCTATTATCAGAAGCACTTCATATAAAGTGGAATCCAAATTGTCTCATGAATAGGAATGATGAATTAAAACAGAATTTGACCTGGTTACAACACTTCCTTCTCTCATGCAGTGACAAAATCAACATGAATGTGATTAGCAATTTCATTATGTAAACACACGCTGTTTTTATAATTTTACACACTTATCAAATTCAACAATCTACACCTGGTTTTGTTATGTTTACCAATTGGCCTATTTGACAACGAAAAGCGATCCCATACTACGGAACGATGATTAAGTTGTTATATATATATGCTGATATTTTGTAAATTCTCGTTTAATAATACTTTGATAAGGCTATTACCATTAAATAGCGAGAAGTCAGTAAAAACAATATCGTTTTGTTTTTCATTCATTGGGAAATACAAGGAAACGTTTATTATAACGAATATCCAACGCATTGGTTTTAAAAAGTATTTCAAGTTTCACCATGGAGTCTGAGAACCACTGAAATCCAGGAAGTAGTGGACAGCTGTTTCGTCTTAGTTTGGGAAATATGCACCTATCTGGGTTCAAAACCTAGCACCTTTTAGTAATAAGGCAGGCTCGTAGACAGTTTAGCCATTGGCACCCTATTCAATAGTCCATGAATTCTAACTTCTAACTGTTCGAGATTTTAGCGTGACCTGTGATATCGATCTGTGGATGAACTTCAAACAAATCAAATCTCTACCAATTAACTCTTGAGCAGTAACGCGTTCTGATGAAAACAGTAAATCAGAACATCTGGTCTAAAATATTTAGATACATTTGAAACAGTGGATAGATATAAAGCATAAGTTGAATGCAGATTTGCTTCTTCAAACCACAAAGCAGTTCTTGCTTCTTGAAGTAGGAAAAAATTCTGACCAAGGGTAAATATTCTTTTTAATTTCATGTTAATACGATAAATTCATGAATGATGCAACTATTATTATATTACTATTCTAAGTCATATATCTCAATTAAACTATTTAATACAAAAGGTTTACTATAAGATTAAAGACAATAAGACCTCACTATATAATGGGATTATCAAATGCAATGAAAAAAGACAACAACAGGTGATTAACTAATGACTACAAAATTGGTAATTCTGAATATCTTTATTTGACAACAATACAATACCTCTGCATGATGTTCTTCATTCTGTCGTAGTACTTCAATGCATAACTCGGCCAAGTGAATGAGATCAGCTAATGTTTTACCTGTACAAGTAGTAAGAATAAAACAAATGTGTAGAATTAATATATGTGTAAAACTTGGGCATTGTGGTAGTAAGTAATTCCATATTAGTTTGTTTATTAGATGTATCACACAGTGAAACAGGATTATTTACTGGATGACGTTTCGAACAAAATTTATTGTTCATAATCATCTCATCGATTATAATCACACGACTTCGAAACTTGAGTTTTTTAGTTTTCTTTGTCTTCTCCTATTTGTCGTAGGGGTAATAGAATTTTCCAGATATCTGGGTGGACAGGTGTTGAACCACTCCTATTACATGTATTTGCAGTTGATTCGATAAGCAAAGTTTTTGTTATCAATCTCTCCCTCCACCATGTGACATTAGATTTTAAAACTATCATCCTATCCCATCCTATTGTATGGTTGTGTGTAATTGCATATAGTGAGTACTATAGCTGGGGAATTATTCTCCAGATTTCTTATCTTATTCGGGTCAACCAATCTAGATTTTGTTAGGTTTTATGCAATGCTAGTCAAACTGCCTCTGTTCTAATACTTTGACCTAGGTATGTGGCCTGACAATCATTGGAGGGTATTAGACAAACTAAATTGTTTTGTTTTATAAGCTCCACAGGATACTTTAACCGACAAAGGTTGTTTCTAACTGAGTTTGTGGGTTTGAATGCCACTTTTATTCCCGCCTTGTTAAGAATTCCACGTAAGGCTTCCGAGGTTCTTTCCTTGTATGGAATTACTACTGATGATTTAGATTCCTTATTGTTGGTGTCGTCATTAATATTAATATTAGTATTATTGTTATCACTATTATTATTGTTATCAGTAAAAATAGGATCGATCATTATGTCTAGATGTTGTTTTTTTCTTTCGATTATGAAAAATGAAAATGAGGCAAGAAACATCGTGGACAAAGTTAGTGTTTCTCATCCTGCAATAAACTCTACCATCGACAAAGAAAGAGATTCTTATGTTTCGTTCCTACATGACGTCCTTATGACCACAGGATGGTACAACAAGAAGAAGTGTATATAGAAAACTTACATCAGCTGGTCAGTACACTCATTTTTCACCTTTGTGCCTTTGAAACAAAAACGCAATCTAATAAAGTGCATAGTCCACACAGTACGAGCAATCTGCTCTGACCAATGCCTTAATGAAGAAATTAATATAATTAAATAACTGCTAAGTGAAAACGGTTACCCAGAAAAAATTCATCGATAAGAGTATATAAATCAAAAGTCAAGGTAGGCCAAAGTACCAACAGTTCCGAAATAGGCCTTGTTCTTACACCTTCATGTCCTCTGGGATAGCATCAGGGAGAGCCAGTTACAAAGACCACACAATTAAGCGTGTTTATCTTCGAATTTTCGAACACCATTCTTCATAGTGGTTAAGTAAAGGACAAACAAAATCCATTCATAGTTCTACACTGTATCATCTCATGAACACAGAACACAAAATCGATGTAAAGAAGGCCTTTAAAGTCATCTACCGTATAACAACTAATCTTAATTTCGCCTCAAGAAGATTTTGGCTATTACATATTGCTGAGGCTGTTAATATCTACATTAAGAAGCCTAATCTATGTATCCAAAAGAAGTTGGTTCAGACACTCTCCTTAACTTGGTCATCAAGGTTTTAACGATACTTAGTTTGTTGTAGAAATTTCCTCATTTTTCTTTGATATCCTATTTACTATTACATTGTTATGCTTATTGTAACTTATGTGCCTTTCTTGAACTGTAATTTCATTGAACTTAACAAATCGATAGTGTTTAAAAAAACACCCATATTATTAATGACGATTATTCTAGAAAATTCTGTTTATATATATATATATATAAATGTAGAGCCGGAAGAGGAAGTTTTCGGAAGGAATATGCTTTCCTCATATTTCCTTTTGTCTTTTAAACGTCCTAATGAATATTTTCGCTAGAATATAAAAGGGATGATATATTCCACTTCGGCTTATTACATAGAGCACCTTACATATGAAGATTAAAATGTAACTTGAAGATATGGATATGTTACAACATATGAGAACTGTAATACCGAGCTTATTCATACATAAACAAAATGCATCATTAAGTTGTGTGATAATTCCAGAAACAGTGGAAAATGTTTATTTCCATTTGTTACTTTTCAAGGATTTGATTAGTTTTATAATTTAGGTCACGAACTGTCATTAATTAGAGTATCATTAAAGACCAGAGACTATTTGAAAGCTGTTTCACTTCTGTTATAGACTCTTCATCGGTTACACGCTCATGATCCTAGGGCTTTAAAGTTATGAAATGAACCCGTTGATTAAACACCCACAGGAACAGAATCTGATGGCCCATGAACTCCATCTTTGGACATATAGAGCTACAACACATCAATGTTATCGGTGAGTATTTGTTCTCAACTGGTACATGGGCATTACTGCGGAATCCCAAACAAGTACTCTATGGTATACCAATTGATAACCACTTGTTATTAGACTTAGTTACCTATCGAGTAGTACTCGTTTTTGTTTCCTTTTCTGTCAAGCAGCCTATACATATAGCCTTTTAACAGGATAGTATGTGAAAACAAAATCAGGACCTGTCAAACCAAAATAGCTTTACAGAAGACATTTTCCAAACTCTTTGCGGTAGAACAGCATGTTAATTTAAATGACTAATATATACATAAATAAGAATAATTTGTTTTACTATTACATTATGTGAACAACTCGTTATCAGGACCATCTGGAGTTCAGTACACCTATGTATGCTTCACAGATGCTATCAAATTCTTTCTACAATTTATACTCCGAAAAGTTTGGAATGTTATCGCATAATAGTAGAGATATTGTGAAGAATATTATCCCCCATATATATATATATATACTAATTTAATTTCGTCTTGTTACCGTAACGGAACTCCTCAAAGCACTTTTTTCGTATAAATTGCATGCCTAGTGTCCAAATGCACGAAATTTCAAATATATTTAAATACTAACAACAACATCTTATTGGAATTGGAAAAAGAAACAATGTTTTTCATCCATCTTATGAAATATCAATCTAGCAATGGGGGTCGACAATTTAATGGGGAGTAAACAACAACCATGCAACAACGGGTGTTTCAGACATGCAAAAAGCAAATAATCCAGTCAATGAGATATAGCGGAGACTTATGAGTAAGAAAGAGGTAAGAAATGTCTACAAAACACCAATTTTACTAGAAAGAAATTTGGTTTCTTTATGTCCACGTAAAAGTCTCTATTTTCCTTACAAAATTCTTATTTTCCATGGGTCTGAATATCTTGTAACGTATATCTTCACTAAATACAAGATGATTTATTTAATAAGAGAGTGTTCAGTAATTGTTTCGTCTTTCAATACATTCCTATATCATCCTATTCAAGTAGGTAGTTACCTGGAGTTCTAGTGAGAAGTCGTGACTAGTAGGGTGCAGAAGGTCGGGTGTGAGGACATGTACTCGCCGAAGACATTGGCGAGGGGTCGCACTATGTCGTGAATTGGCAGAAGTTAGAATTCATAGGCAATTGGATCAGGTCCCAGTGGCTGAATGGTCCACGAGCTTTTCTTGTAACTAGATGGTCCTGGGTTCGAACCTTATGATGTGGATGCGTACTGATGAAGGGTCCCAAACTAGTCTGAGGGAACAACTGTCCAGCACTCTCAGGTTGGTTTTCCAATGGTTTTCTAATTAATGTCAGCTCATGATGAAATCCTGTAACCAATTAAATCCCTACAAGACAATACTTAAACATTCCTATATCATTTCATGTGTAATAAATGACATTATTTCCTAAAGGAAGTAAAATACCGTTGGTTGCTCTACGGATCTGTGATAATGAGATAATCATCTGAATCTATTCACACTTGAGAAAGAAGATGACTTCACTCAACTAGGAGATATCGCCTAAATACAAACAGATGTAGGATTATGTGGTGGTAAATGTATCCCAACTTCAGTTATGAATGTTCTGGCGATCTTTAATTTTTGAAGTTCTCCACTTTGACAGTTGACAGTAGGATTTCTGAAGGTGTATAGAATGATGTTAACAGGAGTACTAACAAAATCTAACGACTGAAAAGCAAAACCTAACGATGAATGACAAAGATGCGCATACCTAGAACACCAAACCACGATGCTTCACTTCATACACACAGGACAGTATATAATACTTTTGACAGCAAACTATGAGGAAATTATGAAATCTGTAATATCAGAATAAGTATGAGATAATTCAATTGGTGGATGGTGACTAGGGGTAGAATTTCGGATACACATTTCGTCCCATTTGGGACTTGTCAGCTGGATGTACCTGGATCCCCCAGTGAGTGATGGTGTCCCCACCGAGGCTAGAACCCGGTGCCCATAGTTTCAGACGCCAAAGCGTTATCCACTAGTCCACTTAAGCCACGGTAGCCATCTTGACAGGGAAATCTAACTTGAATTATATAACTAAGTTGAATTGTTCGAAATGTTAATAATAAATACAATATTACATTCTTATTAGTTAGAATACTCGCAAGCCATGCAGGTGATTCGGGTTCAATTCCCCGCTGACTTATTTACTCTTCACCCTTGCCTAGTTGGTGGTAATTTTGGTGAAAGGAGGAAGTTCGGGAGTGAGGTTTGCAATCCCACCACGTAAAAGCAAACCACCGCTAGTGAATATTAAGATCTCAGAGCTTGAAGCCCTTTTGTTTTACTTGGAATGCAAAGGTATGAGGTATGGTAAGGTTTTTTACAAATCAAGCATAAGATTAAGTCTGAAAAGAAAACCAACAAAGTTTCAGTGATAGAGTGACAAAGCATATTTTTTTTTCAACTTACTAGTTGTCTGGGAAGGTTCAGCATTTGTATCACGACCACCTGGATAAAAGGAAAGTTTTAAAAATGAATTAAAATAAATAATAAGTTAACACAAACTTAGTCATAACTAGTAGGAACTTTTGAATTATTTTAGACACATAATCAAACAGAAAGAAATGGTGAAAGAAAAATAGGGATAGTTACAATGACAACAGACTATAGATAAAGAAGGGAGAAAGGTCATATAGTAGTACAGTATTTAGCAGGAAACACAACGACTATTTACAGCTTAAGCTGACATATTCATTTCTATAAAATTAAAATTTTACATCTTGCTGCTGTAAAGATAGAGGTGATGGCGTAACGCAGTCACCCAGACTTGTGGAAAGAACAATACCAAAGATTTCACATCAATGTAAGCATCAAACACTGACAGCCTCTAACATGTTTAAACACACTGGAGTTCTTTATGTTCATGTACGCAGAGGAAAGCTAACAGAGTAACATTAATCATTCATTTCAATGGATATGAACAATATTTATGATACTGTAGGCCAATTGAAACTGATTCTTTACGACTCAACGAAAACTGCATTAAGTTAACCTCTCAGAGTACCCATCTGAACAAAAATGTTTATAGACAAGTATACTATTTGTACAGCTTTGCTGCTTAACAGTTGAATGAGAAGGTTGGCAGTTATTTTCAACCAATACGGCTTTTGTATCATTATTTGTGTCTCAGAGAAGTACAACATAACCTTTGTAAATATAAAGAGTGTTGTTCTTAGTGTCCTATTTCAGGGGAAGTGTAACAAGACTGATAAAAGGCAAACCGCATCCTGAAGAAGAAATGAAACCAGTTTATTAAGTCAGTGACTAACAGTCCAGCCTGTTTAAGGTTGTGTAGGTCACCTAACTAAGGTTTTTGTGTTTGTTGATACCTCTACACAGATACCCTAGGTGACGTCTTAGAGTCCATTATAGTTATGCTGATGTCTGAATTATCACATCTCTTTATTGAGTGTAGCTTCGCTTCTTTTGTCCCATAGCACTACAATACTCGATAGTGAGATTTCCATTTCTATATTCTTATTGTTACCCTCTTATTTATGCATAGATATGAGACATCACAAGTCCAACTACTACGTAGTAGCTCTAAGTTCGATGTTGATAATGTCTGTTTGTCATTGCATCGGTGGTACAGCAGTAGAATACTTGCTAACTATGCAGATGATTCGAGGTTCGATCCCTGGGCAATGCACTCCTTAACCTCGCTAAAACAGTAATAAGACTAGTACAGAGGGAAGGTTGGGTTTGAGGCTAGCAACCCTATCCCGTAAAAATAAATACCACTGCTACTGAAACTTCAAAAGCTCCAGCTTGAAGGTGCCCTATATTCCAGGCTGGGGACATTAAGGAATAAAAAAAATCGTTTATATTTAGAAAAGGTTGAAAAACTTAAGCATTCTTTTTATAATAACCTATACAGTAAGTGATTATATCGCTGAATGCCTTCAAGCTATTTTTCGTAGTTTTACAAGCCGAAATGGAATTTTTGTGGTACATTTTTCCACTTAGAGGCCTTTCTTCCATTAGTATTTAAGAATAGACACTAAGACCGACTGCCATCCACAGAATAAATCTCCTTATATAACCTAATTCCAGTAACAACCAATTCTGTGACCATATTTTCCTGTGGTACGCAGTTCCGGATATAGAGAGGAAACCACAGTTTACACGATTTTCTTAGTATGTATTTCTAGTAATTCCCCCAAAAATACATTGATACCATGTTAAAAATTTTCCCTTTTCTTTATCAGATTTATTAAAAGTAAATGGTAAAGAGAAATTGACAGCAGTTAAAATTGGATATTTTTCTATTTTAAGTAATATAAACTGTTTTGCAGGAAATAACACTGATGATATAAGCAGTTTCTATGACACTGAATCCCCACCCCCTTTCGCCAAAAAAAAACGAAGTATTTTGTATACTTGTTACTATTAAAATAATAAATATCATAGACAGTAATATGAACTTGTCTGACGATCATGTCAATGATATCTCAACCAAAAAAGCGGAAGTCATCAATTCATTTCTCCATAGAAAAATTTCAATAATACAAACTGATTCAAATATATGAAGACAAACAAAAAAGAATGTTAAATTTATTCTAAATTCATTGTTTAGAGGCTTGTTATCAAAAAAAAGATGTTTCCTAAAAATGCATTCAAAAAAGAAAGAAAGTGTATCAAATAACTTTCTAGAATGACGTGAATGATAAATGATTCATCTGCGTGCAGATAACATTTCTGCAGACAATATAAAATATAATAGTAGTAGAAGTAGGCACTAACTATTATGCCCATTTCCTAGCTGCTTGCTAATATTGTTACTATCTATTAAAAACAAGCAAATGAAAGCAGACTGAATGAAGAACTACATTCATCTTCAATCAAGGATATAAAGGGAACTACTGGAAATAAGTTTTAAGAGAAGTTTATATATATATATATATATATATATATATATATATATATATAAGCAGAAAAAGTCTGAGAGAAGTATCGCCTATGAGTGTGCAGAAACCTATTGAGGCTGAATAAAAATCCGTTCATATTGTTTTCATCATTCAAACATATCAGAATTGTGTGTGATATCAGTAGTTGATCGATTGATAATTCGGCCAATTGTGAATTAGTTTTCTAACGGTAGAAGAAGATGAAAACTTGGTAAAGGAATATCTATTTGCAATTTGGTGTCTCTATGTACCAAAATTATGTATTCCTTATCTTCAACGCACTATTTGCACATATCTTACGTGTTGTGCTACTTTCATGTATCTTCGCTGTATCATTCGCTTTAACCAGCATAAAATCTATCCCCTCGCAATTCGATGTCTTTTATGCCGATGAATATCTCTTTATAAATATACTACTGATAAATCTTATCAGTAGCACTCGCCACAGTTTTGGCAGATAAATCCTCATGATTAGATTCAGTAAAAAAAACGTCTAATTGTGGTGAGAGTAGGCTGTTAGCCAATTGGTAGACATCAATTTACGTCAGTGTCTAGGTTACTAATATTGGCCGTGAGAAAATATGAACAAGACTGATTCAACAACAAATCAGAGCAGACTTAACGTGGGTAAATACGATTCGCAGATATATAGCTTAACTTTCTGAGTAACCAGTCACAAGCAGTACAGAATAACCTTGAGCAAGAAACAACCAATCAGAAGACTGTGTTTGTCTGCTTGAATAAGCTATAATAATGTACATGAAATATATAAAAATACGTGCTGATTTCCGTAATAAAACGATCTGTTGCCTGGCCCTTGTCTTCTGTTGTTACATAATTGCAGGACGGTGGCTTATAAACCTAGTTTTCTCTGGTAGAAATAACAATTTGGTAATATCGAAAGGGTTAACTTAACTTGTATAATGTCTAAGACTTTGGCGTGGTATTTCAGTTACTGCATTAGCCACTTGTGCTTATATGTTCAAAAACTATATTCTGTTACCCCGAATCTGCCTTTGTAATCTAATTTTGCAACCCAAGGGCTATTTACACAGCAACGTTTTCCTCTATTTTCCCTGCCTTATGTTTTATCTGTGATTTTGGCTCTGAAGTTAACATTTTCAACTTTTGTTGATGCAATTTCGATTAAGCATACTATGTTAACATTTATAAAAGTATGTGTGACAGTTAAGTGTGTGATTAGACTGTTCGACATTTGTTGTACATTACACGTGTCAGAAAAAACACGTCTTCCTGTTGATTTGGTGAAAATTCTTTTGGTAATTACACTAGTGTAAGAGTAGAGTTTGAGCACTGAGGTACAAAATAATACTGTATCACGGTGTGTTATATCAGATAAACTTATCTAATCTATAAGTCAACTTTCTGAAAAAAATAACACATTAGGGTATTAAGGTATAAAGTAAAACAAATCAGAGAAGAAATAAAACTAAATAGAAAGTTAACAACATAAAGAGATTTTTAACGGCGCACTGAAGAATTTAACCAACAGCTATCTTCCCTTCATACTGAAGATCAGATGGCCAGAAAGGATTATTTATCAACAAGAAACTCTGAGAACGAACCTACCTATAGCCTACTACCAAACCTATTTGCCGATGGAGATCATTGAGCGATAACACTCATCAGGCCCTCTAGTGGAACTCGAATAGAAAGCGAGAAGGTGGGTGTCCGAAGGTTACATAGAGCAAATCGTGTGTGGAAGACATGGAGACTAAAGAGAGGACTGCAGATAACAGGATAAAATGAAGATGAGTTGTAGAAGCCGTATTTTCTACTTGAAACACATGATAATAATAATAATAATAATAGCGTAACACTGTCAGTTTCGATTCTGTAACAATATACAAAAGTTAATTAATTTTAATTTAAGTAAAGTAAAGAATATGTACTCACTTTCAATTGCTGCATATTCGGATATACGAGCATAATTTACTAATGCAGCTTGTTCTAGACATCGTCGTATCACTTCACGAACTTCTTCAGCTGATGCCGGTGCACCAGTATCCTTCATTAAAACCTAAGTGATTAAGAGATCGAATAAGAATATATTAATTAGTATCGGTCACAAGATAAATAATCATATGGCTATATTATTTTGTCTTGAATAGAGAAATGAATCAACGAAGTGGTGTGTACTTATCATTTTCTAGGAAATCTTCTGACAAGGAATGTCATTCGATATGGTGTAACTTTTTTAAAATTATGTTATTTCTTGGCGTTCCCAGTGGAACATAGCACTTCAAGCTACAGCTTTGAAGTTTCGGTAGGAGTGGTGTTGATTTTTTACAGGATGGGGTTCCTAGCTTCATGCCCAACTTTCCCTCTTTGCTCGGCTTATTAACAGCTAAGAGAGGTGAAGGAGTGAGTCGGCTGTGGATCGCACCCCCGACAACCTGACTGGCTTGCGAGCACTCTACCTATGGGCCGCCGACGCACTATAATTCAACTTAACACCGTTTAAAATGCAATTTAATTATGTCAAGGTTCCTTTCCACATATTTTCTGATATGCTAGTTTCCACCGCACAAATCCATCACATTTTCCATATAACTTTCGTGTTCTGATAATACTATCTAAACACGGAAATGAAGTACTAATAACTGATTTTATGTTAAAACACTGACAGTTTACTTTTTCAAGATACTTTATATCTCAGTACATTTAACTTTTATAAGATAATTAAATCATCCGTCTGAATTTTTATATTGATAAATTTGTCTTGCTATTTAGGTGTCGGTGACACAGAAGTAGAATGCTCGCCAACCAAGCATGTGGTCCGAGGTTCGATCCCCGGCCGATGTGCCACAAAACCTAGATAGCGAGTAATAAGACTGGTGAAGGCGGAAGGTCGGGCATGAGGCTAGCAACTCAATCCCGTATAATGAGACGTAGTTGCCACAGTAGTCTATAAAATGTTCGCTGTGAAGTGGATGCCCAATAATAACACTGACTAGCAGTACTCTCAAGATCCTAGCCTTGATCTCTTATGAATTCAAGAGTGTGTTATGTCAAAGAGCTCGAAACAAGGACCAAACAGCTGCCCAATGTTTCATGAATTTCAAAAATTCCCCAACTGACATCTGTTTATAGTGAAATTAATCGAAATCTCCACAAATTGAGAAGTCTGGATATACGCAATTAGTTGGAAATTCAGTTATCGATTCTGAAAAATGTTTTTTTTCAAATATTTTTGTATGAAGAAAGAAGAGAGAAATTCATAGAACAAAAAAAAGTGATATATTCTACTTACTCTTTCTAATAAACCTAAAGTTAATTTCAATGCACCTTCTGGACGTCCAAAAGGAAAGTAATATCGAAACTCTGTAATCTGTTTTTCTAGTAGAGCATAAAGACGTTGACGTATCTCCATGAACATTTGACGTTCATCAACTAGAACAGTACGAATATTTGTGTCTTGTCTATAAAATAAAATAGAAGCAGATAACAAACAGAACTGAATAACCCAGTGTATAAGGATAATTTCTGAATTAAAATAATATTAGTCAATCAGACTTTTCAGAAAGTAAAATGTTTATTCAAACGATACCATTTAAAATTTCTCATATTTTCTTTTGTTGACATATTATATGCTATAAAAGTCAAGTGAGAAGAAAAGGCTTTAGTCAATGACTATTCATCCTAACTTAGAATTCTCGTTTATTTTTTTATGCTTTAGAGTAATTGAGTAGTCTGAAAATCCCTATTATTTTATGAAATAAAGCATATTCAACGAAGAGTGACTGTTCACAACTACTTATTCTCAAAGATGAACTGTGTCTACAAAACAAGTTTGATAAGATTTGTAGTAATAAAGATTTTATATTTACCTTTCGAAAATTCTTTCTTTATTTCTGTTGTAACAACAGAAGACAAGGGCCAGACAACAGATCGTTTCTTAAGGAAATCAACATGTATTTATATATTTTCATGTACATTATTGTAGCTTATTTAAGCAGACAAACACAGTCTTCTGATTGGTTGTTTCTCACAGACAGTTGACGTTGCACCTCTTTGTGACTGTTTCTTGAATGTCAGGTCATCTATATGTTAACTGTATCTGCCTACGCCAAGTCTGCTGTGATTGGTTGTTGAATCAGTCTTGTTCATATTTCCTCACGACCAATATTTGCGACACAAACACTGACGTGCAGCCTGCTTTCACCACACTGTTACAATCATGACATCGTGTCTCACTTTCCCTGACAGTTTTGGCCTTTTTAATTGTTGAACAGCACTCAGTTTCTTTTATCTACAACAGTTTCGGTTCACTTAAATCTTTAAGATTTACTAATGTTTGTTATCAGATATATATCGATTTTATTATAACTTATAGACCGTACAGTCAGTTTGAACATCCTGAGACTTAATCAAAAGTGAATTTTTGTTAATAACTATACAATGAGAATGTGTCGACATTCTACTTCACAGATAATTCTATATTTCTGGATGTCATAACAACACGCTTCTCGTTTTTCTTGCCCAATGAGTGTACGATATATGTAGTTGTTTATATATATATATATATATATATATATATATATATATATATATATAGCGTGTTAGAGAACCATTGAATCTGAGTAGATTCTTTCAATGTTATATATCTGTTCATTAAAATTAAACAGATTGATGTTTTCTGAACGCATAACGGTAGTTCCACTACAAGACTTATTCACAAAGTCAGTAAGAACTTCATTAGGAAGTGAAGCATGAATATCTAGTGTGGGTAAGAGATTTCCTTCACGCAACCTTTAGTCTATTAATCCCTCTGAATCATATGACAACTAACTATTTATATTTAGTGTAATTCTCTACTTTCAATCATTGTTGCTGTATAATTTCGTTTTTAATCCTCTTGGTTGAGTTTTCGTTGATTGATTAAGACATGATTGCTAAGCTTTCTAAATAAGCTTTAGTTTGAGTCTATGCCTGCTTATCTATTGATTATAATTTAGTGAAAATGTCACACATCTTAATATTTTTCTATTGTCTTTGAGTTTGTACACTATAAGCTAACATCATTCTCTCAGACAATGTTGTGTTTCTGATTGTCCAAATGCCTTGGGAGTAAGGAAAAAGTATTCTAACTTCTTACGGCTAGTTGATGTTCGTGAATACTTTTTGGCAATGTCTGTCTGTCTGGATTCAACATAGAACTTGGCACCGAAGTGCAGCAGTTCGAGTTGCCACCTTCCAAATAGCACACAGAGGTAGACAAGAAGATGAGTGAAGAGAATCAATAGAGTTTGACAAGTATAAGAGTGAAACAGAATGGGTAATGGTAGAAAGGAATATGAAAGATTACAGAGACTGAATACATCTGCGCTGGCCATTGGCAACGATTTTGAGCCATGTCACCTATTGTCTCCAGCCATTGATTCCTAGAGTCCCGAGGGCCCCAACCCGGGAGTCTGCATCTCCCTACCTGACTCAGTTTAACTGTCAAGGATTTCATGGATTGATGAGGCGATGTTTTTGTTTGGCCACCACTGGCTCTTTTCCAACCTGAACCTATATCAGCTAGCAATGCCCGTCGGGGGAGGCGGTGGTTAGGCATGCGCAGCACGTGACCTAGCCATCTTAGTCTATGTAACTTTATAGCCTCGTCGATTGATTTTCCCTCTTTGCCCAACACTCTACGCCTAACGTCAACATTACTTACCTTATTAAACCACCTAACGTGCAATGTGGCTATTACAGTGGTGTACCTGGTGTTGTGGATAGCCGGACCACTTGATTTGTAAATTATATTTATCTTATCGCTCTTAGGGAACAGAACTTACAGTAGATTTCGTAGTGACTTGTTTTATTTATCTGTCACTTCAAAACTGAATTAGCAAAGTAATCCTCTAACGGCTTCTGAGACGTGTTTGATGTAGGGCACGGCAAATTGATTGTTAAGTTGAACTTACGGTGTTGTTATGATGACTAATTTCTTTTATTCGATAAACTCTCATCAACTTATCAGTACTATTTCCTTTCTGAGAAATAACTGTCACAAAGTTTAGTAAAAACAATTGGTCAGGTTAAAATATTCACTTAAACTGTTAAAAATTTCCTTCAGATTTCAGTTTTCATAGCATATTTGTGGTCTGCCTGAGGTCTAATCACAGATTAGACCGATTCAACTGAGCTTGTGGAGCGAGTTATATTGGCCGCTGCTCTAGGCACTTGATTTTTCGTGCTCGCTCGAGAACATCTCCCACTTTGGCTAAATGAAGGTGTAGTCAAAGCCATTAACAGTTCGATATTAGACCATCTGGTGCAAACCGGCCGGCCACAAAGCCAGCCAGAGTGGAAGAATCCTTCTCTATAATCTATGCGGTGCCTAATAAATTGCCAAAATCATCAAAGCACCGCACGCTCTAAACAGCAGAGGCTATTGCGATTCACCTCAAACAATCAGTGCTCTATGTTCAAAAGAAGTAAGTTCAGCTCCTACTACTGCTTTGGCCTTCAGTAGAGACTATAAATTCATGAATTTGTAATATTATCTATTCTAATTTTTCTAACATTCAGCTTATTTTATGTTGATGCTATTGAGCTGTAATCTATCAATATTATTGATTCGATGTTATTTAAACAACATTAATGTTGTTCATAACGCTAATTCACTTATTCACTATAATGTATATATAACTGTAGAGCCTATTGATGAATTTATCGAAAAGAGTACTCTTTGTTCAGTATCCATTCTTTTGAAAATAATAATGTTATTGAAGTTTAAGAATATTAGAAACACGTATCCTGATACACTTTCTTAATTATCAGAGTTGAAGTAAATTATGTATACGTGATTATCAGCTTGAAACTCACGACAATTATGCATATATAGCTATCTGAAAGATTAGCAGAAGAATCATTACGCTGTATACCAACCAAACAATTTAGCATTCAACTTCTTGAATATGTTTTTTCAAGTATTGGTTTTTTGTAGGGAGGATTTCATCATGAGCTGACATCAGTTAGAGAACCAATAGAAAACAAGCTGAGAGTACTGGACAGTTGTTTCACCCTAGTGCTCGGGACTCTTCAGCAGTACGCACCCACACCGAGGGGTTCAAGCCCACGACCTTCTGATCACAAGGTTAGCAAGCTCTAATATCACCAAGCCACTGGGACACGATCCAACTGCCAGCCCATGAATTCTAATTTCAGTCGATTCATGAGATAGAGCGACCACTTCACAATGTCTTCTTCGATGATGTGTTACTGCCTCCCCTTCAACCTGCTTGAATATATCTTAACTGTTCATCCATATTCATGATTTATTAAGGTCGAAAGAACAATACACCTATGAATCAATGTAGTGCATCGGTGGCACAGTGGTTAGGACTCTCGCCGACCATGCACATGGTCCGGGGTTCGAGCCCACGCCAACGGACACCTGATATCTATGGTCGGCCTGCGAATTTTGGGCTACCGATATCCACGCTGAAAATTCCACACTTTTCGCAAAAATACGGTGTGGAATCAAGCTGTAATCAAAAATAAAAAATAAAAAAAATAAAAATAGTCTGTGATTGATCATTCCAATTTATGACTTAGTTTTCAGTGGTTTGATAGCTAATTACAGTAATTTATCAAATGAATTAATTTTCTATAAATCATCTAACTGAATCTATTCACAATAGGCCTACATATCCAGTGAGGAATAATAACAATGATAAAAGGGGGTTAATTAACGAATATACTTACGTATTTCCAAATACATGACAACAACAGAATGCATATGAATAATGAATGATAGCAGGATCAATTATGATGCCTTGTTCAGCACGATCAAGTAAATCATTTAAATAACATAAATGACGATGACAACCACGTACACCATAACGTGCACAATATTCATCTAAAATAAACATTTGACTTGGACTAAACCAGCCAAGTGATACATATGAATCTTTCATTCGATAGTCTAATGATTTCGATTGTAATAAAGCAAATAAATCAGCATGATTAATCTTCCATGGTTCAATACTGACAAATTCATCTAGCCCGTGTTTACGAGCACGATCTACATCTGATATTTGTAAAATTAAAAAAAAAGAGAACAGAATGAGTAAATATTAAGTGTAGAAAACAACTGAAAATTACGATAAACAAGAGAACAGTAACTGTGCATTCAGTGTTCGAATCAGTAAACAACATCCAACTAGCTAGAAGTATTTCTCATAGATTGGTTTGTAAGGGTTAGTTATGTTTTCACGAGTTGATCACGAACTGAAATCAGTTAGAGAACCATTGAAAACCAGGGAGTACTGGACAGCTGCTGTTTCATCCCATTAGTTTGGGAATCATCGGCAGTACGCACCCACTGGGATTCGAACCCAGGACCTTCCGGTTACAAGGCAAGCTCGTATACCATTCAGCCACTGGGACCCGATTCAATGGCTCATGAATTCTAACTTCCATAGAGGTATAGACATTATACAGATGAAAAACTTTTGTTTGCCTCTTCCTTATTTGCATAATTTAACACGAAGATGAAATATTTAACTGCACGCTGGAAGATCAGAAAATTAAGAAACGATTAGCTCCGATTCAATTACAGCTATAAAGGCTGGCTAATTAAAGTCTAGTTAAATTTGACTAAATTTTCAAGTTAGTTTGTAGGGTATAACTCTATTATGGATAAAATGTTTTAATCTGATAAATCACACAGTGTTGTGTACAATAATATTAACTGATGAACACATTTCGAGCAGAAATTATTTCTACTCATATTCATATCAAGGTATTCACATAACTTGTTTGCTTCATTTGTATACATCAGTGAAACTGTTTAGACATTTGAATAAAATCAATATACGATAAAGTACATTCAGAAATAATGTTAGTGTTATCAATCAAATACAATCAGATGGGAAATAAAATCTTTTTATCAAAATAAATTCTTATCCACAATAGAGTTATACTCTACCAAAGTGCCCCAGTTTTATACTGATATTAGTTTGTAGGGATTTGATTTTTTTCAAGTTTGACCATAAAGTGCTATCAGAGAATAATGAATGTCTGTTTCGTCCTCATTTGGGACTCATCAGCAATACACGCCCACTGCAGTTAGAATTCAGGACCTTCTGGTGACAAGGCTAGCGAGCTCATAGACCATTAAAGTCACTGGGACCCAACTCAATGACCAGCATATAAATTCTAACGTCTACCAATCCATGATTTTAGGGCGACTATCGACCAATGTCATAGTTGAGTATTTGTCCTTACTCTCAACCTGGAGGACTCCATAGGTCATGATTTGTTTCAATTTTGAACATGGATTGAGATCATTTAGAGAACCACTCAGAACTGGGTAGTGCTGAACGGTTGTTTCATCCTAGTTTGAGACGCACACATTAAAGTTAGAAAGTTTTTTAAGTTGGGAATAGAGGCTATTAACATATTCATTGATTGGCCCTACTTTGTCAGTTTCTGCCGAACATGAAGTGAGGAGATTTCTGAAGCGATATTAAACTTTGAAAAAATTTGGGGGACTATGAATACCTTCCTTATTTATTATTAGTATTGTTCCCTTGGGTTCCTAGTGGAACATAGGGCTTCAACTGCACGTATCCACTTGCTTATGTCATCCTTCCGCTGTACTTTTCACCTCCATCCACGTTAGTCCATAATCTTTCAACTCCTCTTCACACCATCTCCTCCATGTCAACCTTGCACCGATGTCCCACTCGCCGCCGCTTCCCTTTCGGCTTAGTTCCACTAGAGAAATGGCCTGACACGTGCGCGATGTCACCCAGCGGCCTCCTCCTCAGCCAGTGTCCAATCCATCTCAATCCACTTTCTCCTGCATATTTGTTGGTTGACGATTGGTTTGTTCTTGTTTTGTTTATTTCTTCCTATAGTTTCTTGTTGGTGATTCTTTCCGGCCCGGCCATCTGATCTGATCTTCAGTATAGATCCAGCGAAGACAGTTGTTGGTTGATAAAGGTCTGGAACAGGCTGTTGGAAATATTCTTTGTGACCCACACGCCCGCCAAGTTTCTGATCCGTATAGAAGAACTGACTGACTTGACGTCGTTTGTATTGAAAATCCGACCGAATTTTGTTGTTGATGCTGAGTTGAGTGACGAAGATTTCCAGATTGATTTCAGGCTGATGAATGTGTTTCTCGCTCGCCTTCCCGATTGTCGCTCGGTTAGACATCCTCGTCCGTTCCGACTGTCTGTAGTTGAGACAATGCTCCCTAGATAAGTGAGTGAATGAAGTGACCTCTTTCAAATCCCTCCTGTTGATGGCGATTGACGCTGGATGTTGTTGCTATTGTTGTTGATGGTTGGTTATTTTCATAACCTCCGTCTTGTCTATGTCTTATCTTTGCTGCTTCTTCGACCAGTCTGTCGGTTTTCGCTTGTAAGTCTTCGATTTTGTGTGACATCAAACATAAATCATCCACGCGCGAAATCCAGGTCTTCTAGGTTCTTCACGTCGGTACAGGATATCCCTGTCCCGTTTCTTGTTTCCCACTGTCTGATGCATAATTCAGTCAGTCCACCACAATTAGGAATATCATTGGTGATAATAAGCACCCTTGTCTGACACCTGTGTTTACTCCAAACGCCTTGCTGAGTTTTCCGTTGTGGATCACTTGACATGTGCCGTTGTCGTACAGCTGTTGAATAAGGTTGATGAATATTTGGGGTACGCCATAGTACTCGAGTAATGTTCAAATTACTTCACGGTCAACGCCGTCGAAGGCCTTCTCAAAGTGTATAAAGTTGAGGTAGAGGTTTGATCGCCATTCCATGCTTTGTTCTGTGATGATGATGTGTAGAGTTGCACTTTGGACAGTAAATGATTTGCCTGACTTTCCTGAACCCAGCTTGTTCTGGTCAGAGTTCTGTATCAAGTGGGTCCTTCATTCTCTCCAGGATGATACGACTCAGGATTTTACTTGGCGTCGACAGGAACGAATACCTTCCTAAAAGACTTCATTTAATTGATAAACTACTGATTTTCAATATTATATTTCATGTAGAAATGGAGATTGTCCTACCTACTATTCAAGTTCACAACTGACAATTACAACAATTCTTCTATATGTTACAGGAAGTCTGTTTTTCTTGTTTTTGGGTAAAGACGTGCTTTTTATCACCACTTATTAGCCTAATTTTATCTTCCAACTAAGGTTTTATATTCTGCAGCATTTTTTTGTATCTTCACTGAATCACTCACAACATCGACAGGTATGTCTTTTACCAGTAGTGGCATCACTTTTGTCCGCGTTTAAAAAAAAGCGTAACCACATCATAGTAAAATGTACCAGATAAGATTATCACTAATTTAAGAGAGGAATAACTAACAAAATACACTTTTCATTTTAAATGAGACAAAAATGAATAATTTGAAAATAACATTTAAGAAATTTTATTTATGTGGACAGATTTAAACCGTTTCTGAGTTGTGTAGAAGTAATAAGCTCTCTTGTAGGGGAAGTCTCATTACGTAACTTAATAAAACGCAGATTTATATTAGTTGTAGTCTACCTACAAATTATAAAACTCTCACTCTCTAACAAAAAAAGCTTTAAATTGAGTAGGTGGTTTATGTAAATTTATGAATTACAAGTGTTTCGTAATTAGTATATATATATATAGTATTGCACTACGATAACTTTTCATTGAATCAGTGTATGCATAGACAGCAAGAGAAGTTCACCTTTTACTATACGACAATTCAACAACTGATTAAGTAGAGAGTTTGTCGACTTCTCACACAGTTTCCATCTCTTCAACATGAAGTTTGAAACATAATGGTGTATGGAGAGTTCAGTATGTCCAGTATAGGTCGCAGACGGACACCACCTTCCATTATGGGTAAATTTTGTTTTGATAAAGTCTCACAGTGTTATACAGTAATGTTTACTGATGACGTTTCGAGCACAATTTATTACTGCTCATAATCATATCAAGGTAACCACACGACTTCCCAACTTCATTTATATAGCTCCATTGTTTTCCACTTGATTTTCACTTGATTTGATTGGCAGTAGTATTCTCCCTATTTCAGGTATGAGTGACGAGTCATTCCTATTGCATGTTTTTGGCGTAGACTCGATGAACAAGGATTCAGTAATCAACCTCTCTCTCCACCTACCTAGATTACTTTCTAGAATTTTAACCCTCTTCCCCCACCCTATTGTTTGGTTGTGTGTTAGCGCATGCATTGCAATTGCTGAGCTTTTTTCTAAATTACTTATCTTCTCGGGGTCAGCCATTCTTACCGTAGCTAAATTCTTATGTTCTGACAATCTGACTACCCCTGACCTACTAGTCTGACCTATGTAGTTGACCTCACAGTCATTGTAGGGTATTTTGTAAATAATATTATTTTGTCTAATTGGGTCAACTGGGTCCTTTAACCTACAGAACTTGTCCCTGAGTGAGTTTGTAGGTTTAAATGCCACCCTAATTCCTACTTTATTTAGAATCCTACGTAGGGTTTCAGATGTCCCTTCTTTATATGGTATAACTGTAGATGACTTATATTCTCTCTTATTTATGTTATTATTACTAGTTTCACACTTATTTTTATTTTGTGTTTTGGCCTTTAATGATCTTCCTAATGAATTTTATAGGATAGTTATTCAACACCAACGCTTCTTCTATCTGTTTTAATTCATCATTTAGATCTTCTCTTGTGCTACTTAGTGCTACTGCTCGGTTTGTTAAACACTTAACTAAGCCTGCCTTAATAGTTAACGGATGAGATGAATTTAAGTCTAAGTATCTATTAGAATGAGTTGGTTTTCTGTACACTCTAGTGTGCAGTTTACCTTCTTCTATTCGTTTTATTTTACAATCTAACATAGCTAATTCTCCTTGTTCATTTTCCGATTCAAATGTGAATTTTATTCCCTCCACTAGTGGGTTTATGTGTGTCAAGAAGCTAGAGATATGTTCTGTTTTTAACACTGTGAAAGTGTCATCCACATATCTCCACCATACTTTTGGAGTAGGATTAAACGTATTAAGAGCCATATTTTCTCAGCTGTTCATGAATATACATGCTACGATAGGAGATATTGGTGATCTCATTGCTACACCTTCAGTTTGTCTATATATTTTACCTTGAAATTTAATGATAGTAGATGTGAGACATAACTGAATCCCTAAAATAATTTGTTTAATGGGCAGCTTTGTCCTATGATTGAGTTCAGGATCCGCAGTTAGTTCTTTTTTAACTGCTTCTAAGGCCATATTGATTGGTATGTTAGTATAAAGACTAGTTATATCAGCACCAAACATTGTTTCATCATTCGCTAGTTGAATGTATTTTGAATGTATTATTTTATTTTTCATCTCATATGAATTAGTTAATCTAGAGTTTGAACGATTTCTAATGGGGCATAGTATTAGAGCTAAGTGTTTTGATAATTCATAAATGGGGGTATTTCTAAAATCTACTAGTGGTCTTATGGGGTAACCTGGCTTATGGACACCATCCTTATGCAATTTAGGAAGACCATATAAACGAGGGATGGTTGAACCAGACGGCTTGAGATGTTCATACATATACGAAGTAGTAATAGATTCGTCCTTGAACTTCTTCAAGGTGTTTGACAATTCATTCTCAACGCCTTCCATTCTATCTTTCTGATCAATTGATTTAAAAACCTTTTCTTCGCCACAAAGAATTGTACATAATTTGTTGAACTAACAGACGGAACGTAGCTTATTTGAAGATTATATGTCCGACATGATTAAGGAAAGATCTAAGGATGTAAGAATTAAAATACTGAGAAGTTGCAAACCAACGGAATCTAATTTGAAGTTCCCCAATTCACCAAGGAAATATGTGTTTAATTATTCAAATATAACTCTGTCTGACATTTAGATGCGAATGCTATCTCTTGGTGCAAAGTTTTGTACTATCTCATCCAGAGTTGACGAATTAGATCCAAAGGTGTAGTTCAAAAATTTTATGTCTCAGAGAGAATCTACTTTCGAAGTCTAACGAAGATCTAGAACAATTCAAATCTACCATAATGCATTGCTACTATCAATACTTAGAAGAACAGTGCAAACAACGTCAAATGATATCAAAAGAGCATTCAAGACAACTGGATGAATTATTGAATAACAGGCTTATAATATTAATTCGTCCAAATAAAGCATCGGTCATAGTTATTTTACATCGTGAGGCATTCTTTGTAACGAAGAAACGTTTTTAAAATCAACTCTTTAAAAAGATATAATGGAAGGTGTTGAGAATGAATTGTCAAACACCTTGAAGAAGTTCAAGGACGAACGTATTGCTACTTCCTATATGTATGAATATCTCAAGCCGTCTGGTTCAACCATCCCTTGTTTAAATGAGTTTTCAAAACGGTATATTCTAGTGACTGATATGTGTAATTTGAAACCAAAAACACGAAAACAGTAGTACTTATTAGACGAACAGAAATGATCTAAACATCTTCAGAGTACAGGTGGTTTGAATTGACTGGTAAAGTAAGCTATTCTAATGAACGAAAGGAATATAAATGCAGTCAATAGTTCATATATACATATATATATATATATATATATATATATATATATATATATCCACCTAAATATAATTAGCTTCTCCCCTAAATAACCTTATCATTTTATTCTGCAGAGAGAAGGAAGTAAATTTACATAAATTCAGTAAAGAATCTTAACTATTAAGCAATTTTAGTGAGAAAAAAGTAACACAGAGGGTGAGAAATAAAGAGAATGTGAAAGTTGTAAAAACAGGGTGAGGATAATAGGTAATAGGGGGATATTTTCATGCACAGCATAGGAAACGCTACAACAGGCATTCCACTTGCGCAAAAAGGTTGATTGATATAATATCTTTAAAGGATTCAAACAATTCCTGTGAGCATAAAATACAAAATCCTATGAAACCAACTAATTGTGTAAATTCAAATCGTAAATGACCGCCTCCATTCTACCCAATGAGATATACTTCGACTAAAATCCCATATTCAAGTGTTGGGTTGTAGGGATTTGATTGGTTTACAGGATTTCATCATGAGCTGACATTGGTTAGAGAACCATTGGCCCTATTCAGGTAGGTAGATACCTGGGGTTCTAGTGAGAAGTTGTGACCAGTAGGGTGCAGCAGGTCGGGTGTGAGGACGAATACTCGACGAAGAAATTGGCTAGGGGTCGCGCTATGTCGTGAATTGGCAGAAGTTAGAATTCATGGACTGGCCATTGGATCGGGTCCCAGTGCCTTGATGGTCTACGAGCTCGCGTGCCTTGTAACCGGAAGGTCCTGGGTTCGAATCCCAGTGGGTGCGTACTGATGAAGAGTCCCAAACTAGGACGAAATAGCTGTCCAGTACTCCCAGGTTTTCCAGTGGTTCTCTAACTAATGTCAGCTCATGATGAAATCCTGTAAAATCCAATATGCTTGTGTAGCAATAACTTATACTCTCACTCGTTAAAACAAGATTATAAGTAAAGGTTGAAACAACATATATACTCATCCAAGATATACATAATGACCTATTTATTTGTAAAATATGTAAGTGCTTTACACGTCTTTCAAGTGTGCCTACGATAAGAACAACAAAAAGATGATATCCATTAAACTAAGCTTTCAAAGACTTCATCATACATATATATATGTTTCAAGTGGATTAATGAAATAAATCATTGGGATTAGTAATTAATTGTATAGGACATGGACATAATTGCATTGTTGCTTACCTCCTTGTGTTCTGTTACCCATAGCTGAAGCAGTACCACGAGAAAGTGAGGCAGAAATAGCTGCCGCTGATGATGATTTATTCCCAGAAAATAGATTAACATTTTGAAGAGCAGTGTTATTACTCCCCGTGGCATCTTTAGATGGTGGGACAGGTTTATGTGTTTGACCAGTAGCACGATAAATTGCCTGTATCCATAGTTGACGTTCATTTTCATCATCTGTTGCAAATACAACACTATCGCCTTCTTTAACCAAATTAAAAAAGTATTTTCCACCAGTAGATGCTAAATCTACAAGAAGAAATACAATGTCGAAATTTATTCTTAAGAATACATCAAGAATCTGGTACAACTGTTAAATGTCATAAGAAGTAGTCACACAACCAACTACTTCAATATGAGCACTTTTCAAACATATTTTACCAGCTGGAAACAATTCCTAATATTTTGCCCACATGAAAAAATAGTGCTCACATTAAATTTTTAAAATAATTATATATTGTTATTATAATATGCTGCAAAATAAACAACTATACTAATTCTAATGTAGACTTTGCCATGAACTAACATTAGTCAAAATATCATTGAGAACCTGGATACGTTGAAAAGCTGCCCGTCATAACTTGAGGCTGCTGTTCATTAGAAGAAAGAAGCAGAGGTTCGGGAGGAATTCAAAATAGCTTAAGTGTAATGGGCACAGGAATCAGACAACTTACCTCAGACACTTACTTACGATGGTTGTGAAATTCTAGTCAAAGAACTAACCAGAGTGTCGCGTGTTCACCCTCTGTCAGATGTAAGACTAACATCACATATGTTTCAGGTCGAAGGCTGTTTTTTCTATTCCTTTACATTTCTCGGTGGAATATAGCGCTTCAAGCTAGAGGCCTGAATTTTCGGTAGTAGTGGTATTTTGATGTGGTTTCCTTCTGTGAGCTGGATGGTTAATTTGCGAAGCTTTCATCACCCTACTGGGTGACATCTTCAGCGCATACTTCAATCCAGCTCAGAGAACAAAACCACATCAAAATCATCCACCTGAGCTACAAATCTTCTCTATCGTAGTGGTATTTATTTTAACGAGATAGGGTTGCTAGCCTCACGCCCAACCTTCCCTCTTTACCGGTCTTATTACTGGCTTAGCGTGGTAGGAAAGTGCATCGGCCGGAGATCGATCCCCAAACCACAGGCGTATTTGGAGAGCATTCTACCGCCGTACCACCAACGCAACGATTTTTTTATTCGTTGACAAAATTGTTCTTTAGAATGGTGTGTCGGCGGGAGAAGTGTGGCAGAAACGTTCATCAACACCACTAAATCCCTGAAGAAGAGCAGTCGAGGTAAAGTGAGGACATTTTTTTCCTTCACGTTCCCCAGTGGAACATAGGGCTTTAAGCTAGTGGCTTGAAGTTTCTGTAGCAGCATTTATTTTACAGGATGGGGTTGCTAGCCTCATTCCCAACGTTTCCTCCTTACCAGGATTATTTATGGCTTAGCGAGGTAAAGGAATGCGTCGGCCGGGAATCGAACCCCGGACCATGTGCATGGTCGGCGAGCGTCCTAACTGCTATGCCACCAACGCTTAAAAGTAAGGACATGCGACCACATAACACCATTGTTTTCCACTAGGTGTGGAGTTGGACACGATGGCCCACTCTCACCATTACTCCTTATTTTCCTTGATGATGACATTCTGAGGAAAGCTGTGATTGGTTATAGTTTAACTCTGTTACCCGTAAAAAGATCTATTGACCTTACGTATGCAGATGTTATTATCTTACTGTAAGATAATACATAGTCTACTTAAAATAGAACTAATCAGTCGATGATTACCATTCATAAATATTTCATCTTCCAAGTGTAAACTGCTGTTGCGAGATTGGCAAGAACCTCTACCTGAACTCACCCTTAATAGTAAACCGTGAGAAATAGATTGGAAAATCACTTATCGAGTTGCCGATACGGATGTAACAGGAACAATTTATATTCTAATAGTGAAAAACAGAGAAGCATACGTCAAACTGGGCCACCTCTACTACCGACGAGACGTTAGTTAGAGAACTCAGTTTGTCTGACAATCTCCGCCTTCGGCAAAGTCACCATACAGCTAAATCTGAGTTCCAAAGAATAGATAATTGGATATACTGGAGATTATCTTGGAATACTGGGTTCAGTGGCATGGAAATGTGCTTCCAGTGTTTGCTAGCCCTGTGGCCAGATGGAGACTGAAGAAGGATTTTCATCCTATGGTGTGGAGTTGTTGGATGAAGACTGCATGTATTGCAATCGTGTTTGTTGGTGGTATCATGACTCACTGGAATGGGTTCAAGAAACGATGCGACTCAGTGTCTCAAGGTGGAAATTTATGTGGCTTATAATAGAAATTGATGGCAAGCACGCTGCAGTTTCCTAATTTCTTTACATTCTAAAAGCGACACGACATAAGAAACCATTTAGTGAATGCTTTTGATAAGTAGGCTTATGTGTTTACCTGCATTTTGTTGGGCCTTAGTGATCATATGTGTTTCAGTTATATTGCTTTTTTATCACCTTTTGTAGCACATACTTTGGTGTTCATCATATCTTGAGTTTGTGGACGCAAAACCTTGTAGTTAAATGCCGAATGTACTTACTATTCAACTATCTGAGACGGCTGGATTACAATTCCTGTCTGTTTACGATGCTGATTTTAATTTCTGACAAAACTTCATAGCGAAACTTATGAAATTTTTACATACTCAAAAATCTGGATTTTACAAGTATTCTCTTAAAAAGCAGTAAATAGCAACACTTAAGTTAAGGTTGTTTAAACTTAAGTGGGCAGAATAAGTGTCTCAATTCGATTATTAATATCGTTTCAGGAAAAAAGCGCGAATACAGTACAGTCAATCAATCAGATGAGTATATTTTTATGAATTATTCGCTTAAATGAAATCAACAGATTTACTGTCTCAAGAAAATAATAATAATAATAGCTTTATTCCAAACAGTATTTGTGGTACAGGTATGGAATTTTCAGCGTGCATTACAGTATATTACAGTATATTGCATCTAATTACCTCATAAATTATATAAGATTTTTAAAAATCAAAGATAAATAAATAAAAATAAAATAAATAAGTTATAAATAAATAAAATAAATAAATATTAGAAATTAAGAAAAAAAACAACGTAGAGTATTTCATTTCAAACAATGCAACACAGGATTTGAAATATAAAGTTGATGTGTGGTAGTAAATGAGAACAACAGTGTAGTAGTAACGAGGAAAGGAAAACAAAAACTAATGGGACTATTTGTTAGAGTGCCGCAGTAAGTTTATCGTGTCATACCTAACGGATTTCTCATCACATAACAGCTGTGCCAGATATGGCATTGTGGACTTTTTGTATTTGGTAGTCCTAGCATATAGCCGCCTATAGCTGCTTCTAGTTCTTCCAGATGAAATGCAAGGAGATAGATGTGTATAGAGAGGATGCTTGGGGTCCGACAATATTGTATTTGCTAGTTTCTTACATGATATAATATGTCTATCTACAATAGTGTTCACCAGTTGGTTTAACGATATCCCACTTGCCCTACTAACAGCTTTCAGTGCTCTTCTCAGCGAAGCAAAGTCTTTCTTAAGTAGTCCAGGAAAGACTAATGGGGAGCAGTAAAGGAGGATGGGTAGAATACAAGAATTTACAAACTGAGAAAGTAAAGACTGGTTTATGCCAGACTGCCTAAATTTCCTAATGTAGAACGTTAAGCGAAACATCTTTCTAGTAACTAGCAAGATGTGCGAAGACCAGGAAAGATCGGTGGAAAAACTTAGCCCAAGGTACTTGACATAAGATGTATTTTCAACCTCTGTGCCGTCAATGAGAGTGGGGCCATGTGAGCTAACTAGTTGCTGTAGGTCACATTTACGTCTGAAACTGAAATAACTTGTTCAACTCCATCAGTTATATATATATATATATTTCATTATAGTGAATTCCATAATTCTACTCTACTGCAGACAAAAAGGTTCTCAGATAATAGACTTTTTTATAGACATGCATTCCGTATAGTGGAAACTAATGATAATCAATAACTTTATGCAAAGATATTATAAATAATGAAACATTCTGACAGATATGTATTTCACGATAAGATAATGTCAACGCTCGGATGACAGGGGGGGGGGGGAAGTAGCTTATCGAAATCCAGTAAGCTGTTATTACAGTCTTACACGTAGATAATGACATAAATCAATATTTTGTTGCGTGAATAACTGAAAAATATTCATCAACTAACCAGTTATAACTCTATCAACCAAAAAGGCAACTGTAATCTCTTGCTGACACTAACTAGCGTGGCTACCATGTCACTAGGTGGCTCCCCATCACAGTGCAGTGTGAATTGTTGGTAACAGATGGTTGGAAGCAGTCGGCAGGAAGCCATAGACCTAGATTCCGTGCTAGTTGGCACTGAGCAAGGCGTATCTTCAACCTTGAAAGAACTCATGTCCCTTCTGAGATTCGAGCCGACAACAATTCAAAGTGCACCGTAATGGCGAGCCAACTACCGGCATGGTGGCCACATAGCAAACTTGACTGATAGAATTCAGTCTGCATTAAACAAAGGACTAGACACATGGTAGAAGTATTGGTGTTCGATCAAAAGTATCTAATACAGTCCCACAGGAGGTCAATTGAAAGCCCATATAGCACAGTGGTAAACTCTCTGAGTGCAGCGCTGAGTGACACGAGCTCGAATCTCAGAAGAGACATGAGTTCTTTCAAGCCTGCAGATACGTCTTACTAACTGCAGAGTGCCAACAAACACGAAGCCTAAGTCCAAGGTTTCCTTCCGATTACCTCCTACCATCTAATAAAGACACTGTCTACGTTTGAAGAACGGACAGATAAAGTAATGTAGGGATTTGTAGAGATTACAGCTTGATTCCACACCGTATTTTCGGTGCAAGTATGAAATTTTCAGCATATGACATCCGTAGCCCAAATTTTGCAAGCCAACCATTGATATCAGGTTTATGTTGGCATGGGATCGAACCCTGGACCATGTGCGTGGCCACCGCTGTGCCACCGACGCACAGTAAATGAGAGGAATAAGAGAACAGAATTGAATGTGATAACGAAATTGACTCTGTCTCTCTGTTAAGTAAAGTGTTTGTTCTTCTGAAGTAATTTCAGTCCTTCACTTTGGGAAAGTTCAGATGCTTAATCTGTTTGTCTAAAACTTTCATCATGACAATTGTTTACCTATGCATAAATCTGAGAAGGTTGCTGGCCAAGTTTTAAATAATGTAAAGAGTATGAGCAAATTTGAACATCTGCTGATTTTAACATGGAGAAAAACTGATTATCAACTAGTAAGATGCACTGTGAGATATAGTTTCAGTGATTGTCTTCACCTATGATAAAAATGTATATGAAACGGTTTTCTAAAGATTCGAATCTACTGTACGCAGTAATGGCATCGATAGATATACCACTGAAGGGTTGATCGGATTGGGAGACTTATCTCATCATTCACTAAGCCATGTTTGTGAAACGATTATATTCCAAGAGTAGTCCAGAATCTGTCTACGAAAAATGAAGTGTGCTGGATAAGGTGGATGATACGATACTTCTGAACACTGTGGTTGATCAGCTTTTGTTTAGTTATAGGCAATCAGAGTAAAATGAAACAGAGTTATGAACAAAGAAAAGAGTCCTCACAAACATATAACGTTCCGATCGATTTGTAAAAGTATGACAAACTGAATTCCAATATAGCGAAAATATTCATTCAGACATTTATAAAAAATAAAATATGTGAGCAAAGAATATCCTTTTTCAGAATTTTCTCTTCTGGCTCTACAATTATAAATATATAAACGCTTATATACACAGAATATTCTGAGCGACATTTGCCTTGCGAAACTAGAAAATGGGACTTGAAAGATGTAATTGATGAACTTGAATTCCATTGTTGGTACATGGATGCTACATTTTTAACTACGAAAAATGAGGATGAAGCAAAAAACATTCTGGATGTTCATCCTGCAACAAATTTTACTATTGAGAAAGAAAAAGACTCCCGTATTTCATTTTAAGACGTCCATATGACCAGAAAACAGGATGACACAATAAGATGAAGTCTATGTAGAGAACCAGTATACTCATTTTTTTCACCTTTGTGCCTTTGAAATAAAAACGCAATCTAATAAAGTGCATGGTCCACACAGTACGAGCAATCTGCTCTGACCAATGCCTTAATGAAGAAATTAATATAATTAAATAACTGCTAAGTGAAAACGGCTACCCAGAAAAAATTCATCGATAAGAGTATATAAATCAAAAGTCAAAGCAGGCCAAAGTACCAACAATTCCGAAATAGGCCTTGTTCTTACACCTTCACTTCCTTTGGGATAACATCAATGAGATATTAACACAACGCCTAAGGAATACAGTTGTAAAAAGAGCATTCAGTGCTGCTGAATAATGCTGTGTCGTCAAAACCACCCTTATTTTGAGTTTGGGAGTAAAATATAAACTGCCTAATTTCGCCTCTTCTACATGTATCTACCGATTTAACTGCTCCTGTTGAGCCAGCTATATAAGCAGTACAATTAGGCATGTTTATTGTCGGATTTCCGAACATCACTCTGAGTGGTTAAGTGAAGCACAAACAAAATATATTCTTAGCGCTATTCTATCTCACATTGTGGATAAAGAACACAAGATTGATGTCAACCAGGCTTTCAAAGTCATTTACCGCACACCAACAAATCTTAGCTTCGCTCTAAGAGTTCGTTTACTAAATATTGCTGAGGCCGTTGGGATCCATTTTAAGAAACCCAATTTATGTATCCAAAAGAAGCTAGTTCAGAGATTGTCCTTACTTTGGCCAACTGAGTTCGAATGATCCTCAACTTTATGTAGAAGTTCCCTAAGTTTCAGCTGATATTCTATTTGCTACTATATTATTATTATTTATGCATCTTTATTGAACTGTGATTCCATTGATCTTACTTAACGAATCCATATTATTAAAAAAACACTAATATTTTTATTGAATACTATTCTAGAATATTTTATGCGTATATATATATATATATATATATATATATATATATGTTCGATCACCGGCCGACGCACTCCTTTACCTCGCTAAGCCACAAATAATCCTGGTGAAGGGGGAAGGTTGGGAATGAGGCTAGCAACCCCATCCTGTAAAAATAAACACTGCTACAGAAACTTCAAGCCACTAGCTTGAAGCCCTATGTTCCACTGGGAAACGTGAAGGAGGAATATATATATATGTATAATTGTAGAGCCAGAAGAGGAAATTACCGAAAAGGATATTCTTTGTATAGTTTTGGTTTGTAAGGATTAGTTATGTTTTACGAGTTGATCACGGATTGATATCAGTTAGAGAACCATTGAAAACCAGGGAGTACTGGACAGCTGCTGTTTCATCCCACTAGTTTGGGAATCATCGGCAGTACGCACCCACTGGGATTCGAACCCAGGACCTTCCGGTTACAAGGCAAGCTCGTATACCATTCAGCCACTGGGACCCGATTCAATGGCTCGTGAATTCTAACTTCTACCAATATTCTTTGCTCAATTATTTTGTTATTTTTTTAAAAAAGTGAATTCCCTTGATTCGAAGCGTTGTTTCACTCAATTCACTAATTACACCTAACAATAAAGAGTTTTATCCACCTGATATGACTTAAAATGAACAATGGTTACAATCTGCTGATTAATACGTAAACATTTTAGCATTCTAATAGAATTGAACAAAGAATTAGACATTTTTTGGTTGAAGCGATGTGAGGAAACAGCTTCTTCTCTTATTTCCAGCTAGCATATTTAATAGCAACAATATAGGCTGTTTAAAAGAGTTTCCTTAATGAATAATGGAGCCTTTCCACCTGAACACTATTATTATTATTGTTCCCTTGGGTTCCTAGTGGAACATAGGGCTTCAACTGCACGTATCCACTTGCTTATATCATCCTTCTGCTGTACTGTTCACCTTCATCCATGTTAGTCCATAATCTTTCAACTCTTCATACCATCTCCTCCATGTCACCCTCGCACTGACGTCCCACTCGCCGCCGCTTCCCTTTCGGCTTGGTTCCACTCGAGCAATGGCCTGACATGCGCGCGATGTCACCCAGCGATCTCCTCTTCAGCCAGTGTCCAATCCATCTCAATCCACTTTCTCCTGCATATTTGTTGGTTGACGATTGGTTTGTTCTTGTTTTGTTTATTTCTTCCCATAGTTTCTTGTTGGTGATTCTTTCCGGCCCGGCCATCTGATCTGATCTTCAGTATAGATCCAGCGAAGGCAGTTGTTGGTTGATAAATGTCTGGTTTGCAACAGGCTGTTGGAAATATTCTTTGTGACCCACACGCCCGCCAAGTTTCTGATCCGTATAGAAGAACTGACTGACTTGACGTTGTTTGTATTGAAAGTTCGCCTGAATTTTGTTGTTGATATTGGCTGAGTGATGAGGATTTCCGGATTGATTTCAGGTTGATGAATGTGTTTCTCGCTCGTCTTCCCGATTCTCGCTCGATTTGACATCCTTGTCCCTTCCGACTTCCTATAGTTGAGACAATGCTCCCTAGATAAGTGAGTGAATGAAGTGACCTCTTTCAAATCCCTCCCGTTGACGGTGATTGACGCTGGATATTGCTGTTATTGTTGATGATGGTTGGTTATTTTCATAACCTCCGTCTTGTCTATGTTCACATGGAGTCCTGTCTTCACTACCTGCTTCTTCGATCAGTTTGTCGGTTTTCGCTTGTAAGTCTTCGATTGTGTGTGACATCAAACATAAATCATCCACGCGCGAAATCCAGGTCTTCTAGGTTCTTCACGTCGGTCTAGGATATTCCTGTCTTCTCGTTCCCCAGTCACTGTCTGACACATAATCCAGTCCACCACAATTAAGAATATCATCGCCGGTGATAATAAGCACGCTTGTCTAATTCCTGTGTTTACTCCAAATATAGGACAACACTTTTGAACTTGCATTATTTGTTGTTAGCATTTCTCTTATTAAACGTGTATTAAACATAAACACAATACCGACTTGAGTCTTTGCCTATATGCTCAACATTCCTGTAAATTAATTTTGATAGAAGATAATTGAATAATCTTTTTCAAAGCAAAAAACTGATTAACAAAGGAAGGAGGTAAAAGTGACTGAGAATTAGAAAAAATAAAGAAAAGAAAAATTCAATTAAGCGCTTTTAATGACTAACTATCATCTGATGATAATTAGGCAATAATTAATCAAATACATTTATTATATTAATATAACATTTTAACAAACCAACTAAATGAAAATAATCAACTGAGCATGGGAACAGTTGAAATGATTATTGTGCAACATACCACTTTGTACATCACAATAGTCTACTGTGAATCCTTCTAATTGCATAACTTCAGTTGGATCTGATTTACGCTCTTTATAAGAAGCCATAATAAAGGTGTACTGTGAGACCTAGACAGGTGAAGCAGAGAATAAATAACACAAGATATAATGTTATCAGGAAAAAACGATATATATTATTAGCAATGTTCGACAGTGCGTCGGTGGTATAGCGATTAGGACGCTTGGCGACCATGCACATGGTCCGGTGTTCGATTCCGGGCCATAGACGCACTCTTTTACCTCGCTAAGACAGAAATAATCCTGGTGAAGGGGGAAGGTTGGGAATGAGGATAGCAACCCCATTCTGTAAAAATAAACACCACTACTACAGAAACTTCAAGCCACTAGCTTGAAGCCCTATGTTCCACTGGGGAACGTGAAGGAAAAAAATATTCGATAACTGATTTGCATTGTCAAATTAATAAAATTATAAAGTGTAATACACATGAAGACTGAATACATAATACAGTGAGTTAAGCTGGTTGCAGTATTATTCTAGAAACATTTCAGTTCAAAGGTGAAATTAATATATTTACAATTAGGAATTAAAATGTCACAATAAGCAGAGGGTGGGACGGATAAAACTCAAACATAGTAGCATCAAAATTACTGACAGGATTGACATATTGTGCAATTAGGGGTTAGAAAGGTATAAATGACAAAAATAGATAGGATGATTGGATAAAAAATCTAGTGGGATCATAACTAATGTGACGAATAATTGTTTATGCAGTTAGGGATTAGATACGTAGAAATAATAAAATGATAAAATAGACAGGAAGTTCGGATATGAAAATATAGTAGTGTAAATAGGGATGAAACAAAACTTAAGACTAACATGAATAAACAGGAAGTTTGGATAAGAAGGGTAATGGGATAGTCACTATTAAAAGATTTACCTGTTTATAATGGTCATGGCAGGGAAAAGGGGTGGACGTATTTCATTTGGATACATAGCATGGGTTTTAGTTTTTGGATGAATGACTAGTACTTCGACTATGTCCAAATATCTTGATTTTACTCCCTTTGATAGGTTTGATCGAATTTTCTATATGATTTTGAAGGATTTTTCGAAAGGCGCTGAATGTCGTGAAATCACCGAATGTTCTGTCACTGAACTATATGCACATTTTCGTTCTCCTTTTACTAACCAGGCTTGATAGTGTTCACGAGCGCGTTTTGCAAGTTGGCGCATGGTACAGCCAATGTACTCAGCTCCGCATAAGCAAGGAAATTAGTATATGCATGCTGAAGTGGCCCAATGCGACAGCTTGTCTACCGCGTCCTGGCTGAACAGTTTCTTGCAGGAAAACGTCAGTTGTAGGCTCACGGCGAAGTATGTCTTCCTCACAGACTTGTGAAGGCGTTTCCGAAGGATATCTGCCTCAATGTCACCTTTGAGCAGATTCTAGATTAAGCAGAAGTATCTTCTTCAGGAGGGACTGGACTTGTTGAAAAATCTTCTTTGATTTTAGATACTTGTCTATTAACCTAAGCGGAAAACGGTTTTCCATCAGGGTTCCCTCTGAGGTTACGCAGTTTTCCGTCAATCACTTCCAAATCTTCAAGGAAAGAGCGTATATACGGTTCCTTTTTCTGCTTAGGCGTACGTAGCTTTGAAAAGTAATGAATTGTCCATTCCATGTAGGCTTTTTGTACATAGACGTTTCCAGAGAGTTGTCGGTGTTTCTTTTCAGATGGATATCGGGGGAGTGGAACATTCTGTCGGATTCAGCTTCAAGAGTAAAGTCGATGTTTTGGTAGGCATTGCTGAAGGTTGGAAGTAAGTTTTCAAGGTCCATGTTCTCATCACAAATGATAAAAGTATCATCAATGTATCTTCTGTAAAGATAGAGGTCAGTGATAGTCCATGAGAAGTTGTTTACGAGGCTGGCCATAAAACAGTCGGCCAAGAGGTGTTCCAGTAGATAGCCCATTACTATGCCATCTGTTCGCCTGTAGATTTCGTCGTTGAATCTGAAGTAGACACTCAAGGCACCACGAAGTAAGAGCTCCTTTATATAATGGATGATGTGGATGTATACAGTACAGTCATTTTTTTGCGTTCAAAATGGACACATAGAGATTTAAGTACTGGACTCTTAAATCTCAACAGCTACGTCTTTTAACAGTATGAGATTGCTAGCCTATCACCAAACTTACCATCTATACTGGTTTTACTAACGGCTAATTGAGGTATAGGATTATGTCGACCGAGAATCAAACCCGAACCACGTGGATGACTGTTGTACATTCTACCACCAAAACACCAAAAATACATCAGTCTCTCAATGGATAAATGCTAATAAAAGGATTACATGATTTGCAAATGATCACAGAAAGTTTAGCTGACAAATAGCTGAAATCGATTATATTAGTAAATAGTGTGAATTCTCTTGCCATATACATCTTTGTTTCAGATTAAATCAATCATCCTATCACATGAAAACCAACCATCTGTTATACTTAAGTATCCTACTATACTCTTAGCAAACTATATCACATAAAAGGATCTGTAAGTATAAAGGTGACTAGAAGAAGAGAAAAGGAGAAGTGAAAACTTGTTAAAGAATATTACTTTCTACAAAATATATTTAGGAATCAAAAAGGCCGTTATATACATAAGTGTAACCTGATTTTATTGATAAAAAAAGGAGATTAGAATTAAGAAAGAAAAAAAATAACGTTTTTTCTACCTAAAATCCCGACCTCTATTGTCACTATATTGTGATCATTATTATCGATATCAGGGTAAAATACTTGAGGGTATGAATAAGAAGTATGTGTGTGTTTAACTTCTCACATGGTTATCTGTTTAACTTTCCTGGATAGATAGAAGTATAAGGTCAAACTGCAAGATGTAAGGAGAAAAAATGGAAGAAAAATTAGATGGTGAAAGAAAGTGAATGCTAAGATATAATTCCTACTGATAGAATAAAATACATGAACACGAGTGGAACTTAGAAACCAAATAAGATAAGTGTGAAAGATAGGGAACTTGTTGAAGTATGGAAGCATGATAGTAGGCAGATCAATAAATCTGCTGATATATGACTCTCAGATATGCAAATGAAGTAAAATATAAACAAAAAACTACTGAGGATATAATAGGATAAAAAAGAAATAGAGAAGAATAAAACTACATTTTCTTGTCATTATTATAATATTATTGTCTTCTTTAGTTCCTAGAAAAACATGGGGCTTTAGCCGTACATCTCCAATGCGTTCAGTTCTCCGCCAACGCTTCCAGCTGGCTCCACCTCTCTCAACATGCTTTCATCTCCTCTTCGCATGACCTTCTCCACCATATCACCCTCACACTGACAACCAGCTCTCTGCTTTCTGTTCTGATTCCTCTCGAGTGATTGCCTGGCGAATGATGTCGCTTGGTGCTTTTCTTGGAGTATGGCCAATCCACTTTCATTTCTTCCTGCAAACTTTTTGCACAATTGTGTCCTGGTTCGACCGCTCCCAGAGATTTCTGATGCTAATCATTCCCGGCGGACTATCTGATCTTGAGTAGTATTGAACGAAGATAGTTGTCGATGAAAGTCTGTAGTTTGTTCGAAGTGCCCTTCGTGCCACACCAAGTCTCCGATCCGTATAGCAGCCCTGACTTCACATTGCATTTGAAAATCCGGATCTTATTATTCTTGTCAAGGAGTGCTGTTGATATCCACACAGACTTAAGCATAATGAAAGCTTGTCTTGCTTTCCCGATCCTCGCTTTCATATCCTGATCAGTTCCGTCCGCTTGTAGTTGAAACGATGCTTCCTAGGTAGGTAAAGGAGGTTGCTTCCATCAGATTTCTCCCATTTGTGCTGATTGTTGTCTGTTTTTGTTGCTGCTGTTGCTGTTGGCTAGGAATCTTCATCACCTCTGTTTTCTCTATGTTCACCTGAAGTCCTATCTTTGTCAAATACCACAGAAATGATTTAACCAGATGGATTGACACAAATTAAGCAGGAAAAGGTGGCGATAGGTTCATATACACTGGGGAGACTGTTGAATTACATCACCTGCCAGCCAGGCCCTAGAGTGAAAGATGAATGGAGAACAAGGAGCTAGGCATCTGAGGGTGACGTGGGGGAAATCACATGATGAGGGGACAAAAGCTTATGGACATTATAACATTTTACAAATAAATTACAAAAGAAGTAATTTTTAAGTATTGGTTTTGTAAGGATTTGATTGATTGGTTACAGGATTTCATCATGAGCTGACATCATTAGAGAACCATTGGAAAACCTAGGAGTACTGGACAGCTATTTCGTCCTAGTTTGGGACTCTTCACAGCACGCATCCACCGGGGTTCAATACTCACAGGTTTTCCAGTGATTCTCTAAATGATATCAGCTCATGATGAAATCCTCCAACCAGAAAAAGTAATTGACACTTCAGTTACATATCAGGTAAAATAGAATGATGTAGAAAACAAAAATAAATAAATATGGTACTCGTTAGGGTGGAAAACAACAGGTTCCAGTGTGTTAATCAAAAAGAAATTAAAAAAATATGTGAATACAGGCCAGTTTTACACATTGACTGTTACTGCTTTAGATCTAGCTTCTACTACAGGATGATATCAAAATGATGGTATAGATAACTTATGATAAATGAAGCAGTAAAGACTGAATGTAACTCAACCCTTCAAGTTAAGCCACTATGAGATCATTTACATCTATTCTATGCAGAGTAATAACTGTATTTTATTTCATGAACAATAAATATAGTAAGTGAAGCCGGGGAACAAATCACTAATTTAACTGGTTGAACATTTAGTATCTATTCGATTCTGTCGACCAAGAGGTACTCTGGCGTTGCTTGGCTGTAAAGGGAATGTCGATAAAGTACACTGAACTGATCAAGGCACTCTAATCGACATCATGCAGCCAGCTAAGAGCTTACGGCGAGTTGTCACCTAAAGTGGTGAAAACCAGTGGTGTCCATCTGGGATGCGCACTATCCTCGTTTCTGTTCAATTTCATCATAGATGTACACGCTAATGAACTTAACCCTAACTGACTTCAAAGACTCAAGGATTGATTTGTTACCAGGAAATAATCTC